TCTACCTGAAGGGAGTCAATGTAAAAAGAGAAATGAGGTGAGAGGAACAGAGCGGCAGTGGTGGGGGGAGGGAGGGAGGGAGGAAGAGGGCTGGAAAGACTTAGTCTTTCCTCCTTGAGCAAAGTAAAAACACCAGGGTGCATGCCTCTGTGTGTGTGTGTGTGTGTGTGTGTGTGTGTGTGTGTGTGTGTGTGTTTCTGACCCGGCACCTTCCCCCAGTGCCTGTCACCAACTGGGAAGCCCCTGGCAGTCCAGACTCCATTTTTCCCCCCTGGAACACTGGGAAATGGCCAGCGCTGGAGAGCTCGTTGCCTCCTCCAGAAGTTTGTTCCATGGCCCCACAGCGCCAGCAGATAGGACATTCTTCTGTTTGGTGACCCCCAGAGCTGGTCCAAGCTGTGTTCACTGGAGCTCTGTGGAGTGCCAACACCCTCTCCTACCTGCTGGCCACTGGGCCTTGAGCCTTTTCTTCCTCTCGGGTGGCTGTGACTATCACACCAGATGCCTTAAGACTAAGATACTCTCGGGGCTGGAGAGATGGCTCTGCAGTTGAGAGCACTGGCTGCTCTTCCAAAGGACCTGGGTTCAATTCCCACCACCCACATGGCAGCTCACAACTGTCTGTAGTTCCCGTTCCAGGGGATCCAATATCCTCATACAGAGTATATATAGGCAAAACACAAGTGTACATTAAATAAATAAATAAATCTTAAAAAAAAAGACTAAGATACTCTCAAAAGGATGTTGAGGATTCATGAAAAAAGTTACAATGTCTGAATATAGTCACAGAAGAGAGACAACAAAGGGAAAATCCAATCCACAGACAAAATAATCTAATAATCTGTAAGAACAATTCAGTTCCAACAAAATCCCAGTCAGTGGGGAGGGGTGTACCATATAAGGCTCCTGAGGAGAAGAGCTGGAGAACAGCCACTGTGTTTCTGAGGCAAACACCTGAGTGCTCAGAGGCTGAACCAGGTGGTGGTGTGGGAGGATTGTCTGTAATCTGTCAATTATATTTTAAATAAATGCTGATTGGTCAGGCAGGAAGTATAGGTGGGAAAACCAGACAGGAAGTAGAGGTGATGCAATGAGAACAGGAGAATTCTGGGAAACAGGAAGCTCCCTCCACCATTCCTGCCCAGACCACAGAGAAGCAAGATGTAACCTGCCCTGCTGGAAAAGGTACTGAGCCACATGACTAACACAGACAAGAATTATGGGTTACTGTAAGATTAAGAATTAGTTAATAAGAAGACTGAGGTCATGGGCCAATAAGTTTTATAACTTATGGAGATCTCTGTGTGATTTTCTTTGGGACTTACTGGCTTGTTGGGGTACCGGGTAGGACAGAAACCCCAACAAGCCGGCCCTTCATGTTACAGGGTGGTAAAACTCAGATATTTTCAACAGTTTGCTACAGGCACAAAAACACTGTCTGGAACAGCCAACCCCAGGCCCCAAAGTAGACCCACTGCAGATGAAATGGGATGGAAGAGGCTCTCCAGACCCAAGCAGAGAGGGCATTTCAGCCATGGTTACCTTTGGGGGGCAGGGCTTGGCACAGGCAAGGCCCAGCTGTGAGTGAAACTGAAGTGCTTGGTTTTCACTGCCTTTCTCTTTGTATGTTTGCACATGTGTCCTGTTCATGTGTGTGGGTCTACGTGTGTGGGGGCATGCAAATACATGCACATGTGTGTGCATGTGGCGGCCATCGTCCTTGGTTGTTCGCTACCTTATTTAGAGGCAGAATCTCTCAGGTGAATGGTGAGAGCTTGCAGATTCGGTTAGTCTTGCTGGCCAGCTTGCCTAGGGGAGGTCCTGCCTCTGTTTCCTGAGGGCTAAGGTTACAAGCAGCCTGCCACACCCAGCCTTTACAGGGTACTGGGACTGTGGACTCCAGTCTTCACATCTGAGTGGCAAGGGCTTCATTTCCAGACCCAGCTTCCCAGCCCTGCTTCCTTCCCTTCTGTTCCCTTTAGACAGTCTTGCTACGTAGCCCAGACTGGCCTTGAACTCCAAATCCTGTTAGCTTCTGCCTCCTGAGCATTGGGATTAGAAGTGTTCAACACCGTGCTAACCTTCTATTTCTTATTTCATATCTTTCAAACTTGCTTAGCTTTTCCAACCTTATACGTATGTTGCTTCTTAAAGAAGTAACTTAAAAACTTTACTTAAAAATTCTATGTTTGCATGTGTGTCTATGTGGAGGCAGGTACACACGGGTGCAGGTGCCTGAGGAGACTAGAGGAGGGCGTCAGATCCCGTGGAGCTAGAATTAGAGTTGGTTGGGAGCCGCCTGTTGAGTTTACTGAGGCAGAAGAAAGTGTCAGAACCGCTGGAACTGGAGTTACAGACAGTTGTGAGCTACCATGTTAGGGCGGGGAACTGGACTTGGTCCTTTGGAAGAGCAGTCAGTGCTCTCAACTGTTGAGCCATCTCTCCTCCCCATTTATTTATTTGGCAGTTTTATCTGTTTACTTGTTTTTGTATGTGGGCACGCATGCGCAATGAGTATGCAGGGAGGTCAGAGGATAACCTGCGGGAGTCAGTTATCTCCTCCCATCATGGGGCTCTTGAGGACTGAACTTTGGTCTTTGAGTTTGGTGGGAAGCACCTTTAGCCATTGAGACAACTCGCCAGTTCAAGGTAATAATTTTTGTGCTAATATATGATGATGGTCCCATTTAGATTTTCTCCTCTTTATATCTAGGCATTAAAGGGAAACCCAGTTATGAACTGTAACATAAAAATAAGCAGGCAGATAATAAGCAATAAACAACATTTTCTTAGGGAGGCGAGAAGAGAGGATTCTCACTTTCCAAGACACATTCCCATGGGATTCCCTCGTTCTCATTCTTCCTTTCTCTAGATAGCAACTATATCTTTAAAACTAAGCTGAAGGGGAATGACATTTTGGAAAAAAAATAAACAAACTATTACAGAAATGATGGATTACTCAGAAAATGGGACAGGATAACTGGCTAAGAATTTGGAAAAAATAAAGTTAGATTCCTACCTTATACCAAAATAAACCACAGATGGCCTAAAGTTTTAAGTATTAGAAAAAAATGAAATACAAAACTGTAAAAGAACTCAGATACTTACACAGCATGAGCAAACAGAATATCTGAACACAGAGAGAGATTTACAAACTCAGTGTGAGGCTTCTTTCCTCTCACGGATGATAGATATGATCATAAGATGAAAGAGAGAGAGACAGACAGAGAAACAGAGAAGGAGGGAGGAGGAGTGAGAGAAAGAGAGAGAGAGAGAGACCGAGAGAGAGAGAGAGAGAGAGAGAAAGAGAAAGAGAGAACGAGAGAGGAAGAGAGAGAGAGAGATTGATTGATTGATTGATTGATTGATTTTAAACAGACCCCAAGCCAAGGATCAAGGAGAATCTGACTATAGTGGGTTTGACCATGCAGCTTCCTAGGATGAACACAAGAGAATGGGTTGGAGTCTGGGCATATTAAGTGGAGACGGCAGCTCCAGGTATAGTCGGGTACCCTTCACATGGCAGGGGTTCCCCAGTCTCCCTGGCAATCCCTCTGGCCAGTAGTTTCCCTGCTGAACCCAACGCTCGCGCCTCCCTCCACCCAGAATATCCCATACTTTGCTGGGCAGTCATTTCCCTAGGTCCTAGGTTGACTTTTGTTTGTCCAGTCACTCTGCCTGGACGAGCACTCTTCCTCATGGCTCAACCTGTCTTGAAGAATCAGCTTTGATCTACCTGTCCCTCAACCCAAGTAACCGTCCAATGGCTGTCACAGCACCAGTTTATCATGCTGCGCCCATTGCCATCTTCTGCTCACCTGCATGGGGCCAGGGTCATGTTGTAAACCCCCACTGAAACTATGTGGAAACATCTCTAAACCTTACATTAATAGTCTTTAGAGGTGGGGCCTCTGGGAGGTAGTCGGGATCCTGATAAAGACTTGTGGCTTTATTGGAAGAGGACGGCAGCCCTGGGCTGACACACGCTTGCTCTGTCAGCACCATGCTCTTGGGTTTCTTAGAATCCATGAGCAAAATAAGCCTCTTAGCTTCATAAATTATCCAGTCTGTGGCCAGTAACAGCAAAAGAAAATGGGCTGGGGCAGTCCACGTGAAGGATGTTGTCTAGACAGGGGCTACAGAAGACTTGTTTTGCTCTCTCTGGGTCTGATATATGTGCGCATGTGCGCGCGCGCGCGCGTGTGCGTGCGCGCGCACACACACACACACACACACACACACACACACTTCACTGATGTGTACTGTTACCTAATGCACTTGAACTTTTGAAAGTTCCTGCTGTCCCTAACAATGAGGCTGGCACAGACTCTGGGAAACTCAGCTTTGTGCTCTGTCCTTGAGATAGGCTATCTACTAGGGATGAGTTGGCTGGGAAATAAAACTATGATAGTAACATTCCAAACTTTTGTGGGGGCACAAAAAAAAAGAAATGTGTTTTTGTGGGGTGATTCCAACTCATGAGGAGATGGGGGCGTGTGTGATGTGGGTTTGTGCACATTGAGGGGAACCCGGATGCAAGCCCACAAAGACAGATACTTTTGTCTGTGTGCTGTGGAATCCTAGTATAATGGTTTGTCCTGTCCCTTTAAGAGACAAGCCTCGCTCAATACCTCCCTGTCAGCTGAGGTAAGCTGATCTTGGATCTTCCTTCCTTTCCCACTTCCAGCCTGAGCGCTCTCTCTCTGAGGTAGCTTCTCTTCTCTTCTCCCCCTCCTCTCTCTCTGCTCTTCCCCCTTCTCTCCCTTCCCTTTCCTGGTCATAACCCACTAAATAAATACCCACTTTCTTTGCATAGCATGCCTATCCATCTCTGTCTCTCACCTGCTCCAGCTCCTCGTGGGATCGGCTGCCCTGCCCGAGGTCTGTTTTATTTTTACCATTATACCTAGCATCAAGGATAGCATGGGAGGCCCTCCAATGAATACCTGATGACTGGACTGAGTTCTAGAACTGTCTGAAGCTGCTTGGTTACTTAGGAAGGGTCTCCTAAAAACAAATCATTTTCTGTTTTGGTCCATTTTCTGTCTCTGTAACAGACACCTGTGACCGGGTAAGTTTACTTAGTTTCTAGATGAGAAGGCGAGGTGTCTGGGCAGCTCTTGTGAGCTGGACCACAGCAGAAAGGCAAGGAGTGTTGTTGTGTGGAAGAGGAAGGGCATGAAGGTTGTCTTGCCTTAAACACAACAAACTGTTCCTGCTTCCACTAGCTCTGAGCAGTACCCCACCCTACCCCAAATGCCTCTTCAGGGTCTTTCAATGATCTAACTTAGGAAACAGATTTCGGCTTGAATTCGGAAGAGGACAAACCATGCCTGAGGCACAGCGCTTTTCCAGAGATAGGAAAATGAGGCTGCTCTTGTCAGCCTTCAGGGTATCAGCTCCAAAACAACAGATGTTAGCTGGGTCTGGGTCAGGCAACGATGTCTTTAGACCATGATGAGGAAACACAGAGGGCACAGGGCACCGCAAGGTACCCCAGGGGTGGCGAAAGAAGGGAAGGGAGAAGGTAAGCTCCAAAGATGGCAGTGGTCTCCTCTCTGGGCTCAATAGCAAGAGAGACTGTAGGGGGCTAGGCAGAAGTGCTGGAGCCTGAGGGTAGGTCAGCTCTCCCAGAGGATACTGTGTGCACACAGAGGAGGCCTGGGCTGATAAGGAGGCCTTGTTCTGTATTTGATCACTTGTCAGAAACTTATACTTAGGGCTCAAACAAGTTTGGTGCAGTCTCAACCCACCCAGTCACAGTGACAAAAATCAAGGCTCACTGTCAGTCTTTCTAACTCAGAACTAAAAAGTGAAACTATAGGCTTGTGGCAGGCATGCAGCCCAGGCTAGCCCAGGGTTGGAAACAACTGGCTTTCTAGGCTTTGTGCTGTAGCTAGATGCAGAGCCTACCAGCTCCCTGCCTAGCCTCCATCCTATCCCAGGCCTGACCTTCCTCCCTAGGGTGACAAACTGGAGGAGGCTGGTAGCTGCTTCCATAACCTTCCCCATTCCCAGCAAAGTTGCTTGCTTTCCCTGCACCAAGTCTCGACTGTGTGCTGCAACCCAGAATCTAAAAAACTACCGCAAAGAAAGTGGTTTTGTCTGTGTGTATGTGTGTGCATGTGTGCACACAGGTGCATATGTACATATACATACAGGCGTGTTGGGTCCCAGTAGGCTAGACAGACAGGGAGTTCCATCTTGTTCTTAACCTCTTGGGTCTGACCTGGCATTGCTATCTGCAGCGTGAACCTTTTCTGCACATCTTTAGGGTGTTCGTGTCTTTGTGTAAAAGCACATTCGTGTATGGCTCTGCAGATGCCTGGGTCATCCTGTTCCCCTCTCTGTACACATCAGTCATGCTAATATATAGATACCTGCGAAGTTTGTTGTCTATATAACCACATTTGTAACTAAACACGTTAGGGTGAGTGAGTTCGTGTATATCACGTGTTTGTTTATGGGGGCATCATCTCTGCTATGTCTGCCCACTATGTCTCTTAATGTGTAGGCTGCTGGTGGGGGCTCTGCAGTAGGCAAGGCCTCTTTAAATTGTCCCTTCCTTTTTTCCATCTCTGCATTTGTGAGCAATCTGGCCCTTATCGGCTCTGGGAGGAAGACAGGTTTGTACATCTTGGTCTAATCCATAGAGTTTTCCAAAGTTTCTTGGTCCCCAGCCAAACTTTTTATTAAAAGCCTCATGGGGAACAGACTAACAGGAAGGTAGGATTCTGTCTGGGAGACTTAGGACCCCCACTCTAAGGCCCATAGACGGCATGGGAACATCGGTGCTGACCACCAACCAGGGAGAGGGCCCTGAGATCTAAGACTAAGCTTAGTCTTGAGACCTGCCCCAACAAGAGGGGAGCAGGCACAGTACTTCATGGCTCTGTGCTGGGGTAGCAGACCTGGAGGGGCCTGCTTAATTGAACAGACATGGGAGAAGAGTCCCACCAAGATTTCCCCCGGGGCCATGTGGGAGCCAGGCCCCATTTAAGCATCCTTCAGCCTCTGCTGAGGAAATCCTGGAATCTGGCCCACCTGTAAGCAGCTGGTGGCCCTGCTGGCTTCCTATGGTTTCACCATAGCAGGCTCTAAGGCCCAGCTGCCCCTTTCCCTGGCCTGGGGGGAACAAAAGGTCTCCAGACTCCAAACAGCAAGGACATGGTTTTCTCAGCACTTACTTAACTGGGGTGCTGGGGGCCTTGGGCTCATTTCTCCCAGTCCCACTGAGGCACAGGAAGAGTTTGCCGTGCTGCGACCCACACTGTAATCAGGGTCTTCCCCCGTGTTTGTACAGGGTTTTATTCCACAGTCCCAAGAGGTTCAAGAGGATAATTGTCTTGGGCGGGGGGTGGATCCTGAGTGGCAGCTCACACTGCAGTGGCAATGTCTTCCTGGCCTGCCAATGGAGGCTGGTATAACGGTTACTGCAGCCATGTAAGAAGGGTGGCTTTTGGGTCCCAGGGAAGAACTGGGAAGTTGGCGGAGTAGGAGGGGATTCCTGGATGCTGGAAATAGATCCAGGATCCAAGAGAAGCTGGGATCTTGTGTTCAACCCCTGCTGCCTTCTACCGATCACTTCTTCCCTCCCTCCTTGGCCATCAGCTTAGTTGTCTGGAAAGTCTGAGACCTGAGAGTGGAAAAGTCTGGGTCAGAGATGAGGTAGGAGTGGGGCAGGGCATGCTGGGAGTAGTGTCCGGGCAGCTACATTGTCTCGGTCTGTCACACCCTGGCCAGAGCCAGGAAAGAGGAAGCATGGTGGGGGTCTCTGTCTCAGCCCTGCAGGGGACGGCAGTAAGCCTTTTTTACTTTTTGACAACCATAAGGATCCTGGAGGGCAGATGCACCCAGAGCAAACAAGGGGCCAGTGGTGATCTGAAGGATGGCGCCATAGTCATGCCCTCCAACAGGGCCTCCTTAGCTGTGGTGCCCAATGACCCGTTAGACGCAGGGGACTTTGTCTGGCCTGTGCCGCACTGAACCCTTCTGATCGGCAGACACGGCAGCGGCCATGGCAGCGCAGGACAGGGGAGTTGTCTCCCTCTACACAGAATCTGCTTCTCTATTGCCCTATTGCCTGCAGAATGTAAGAGGAGCCTGTGGCACCCATGGGTCTGTAATCACCCAACAACAAACGCGTTCTAGTAACTAGGCTCGGTATTTGCCTGCTTCACACTGTGAAAATGAACTGGTTGCCTACACTTAAAAACCATAGAACTTAATCGTGTGAAGGCCTTGCGAAGGCAGTTGCTGTGAGTTTGCATGTGCGAAGCCCTGTCATGGCAAGAAGACCCTCTTTCACAGCGGGCCCTCCCTAAGAGCTGGCTCCAGCCCGGATGGGGAGGTGCTCACGAAGCCCCGCCCCTAGCAGATACTACTGGTCTGTGGTAGGGGAGGCAGATCAGTTTTCTTCAGGGCCGTGGCTACTGGCCGGCTGCCCATGCTGGGTGGCCCCACACCTATGCACATAGTGAAAACACTAATTGGGGTCAGTGAGTTGTGGGGGGGGGGAGACATGGTGGGAGGAGTTTGGGAGAAGTTAGAAGTTAGAGGTGGGTGTAGGAGGGTAACTTTGAACAGAACACATCATATATACGTATGACATTCTCAAAGAATAAAATGTATTTTAAAATATCAAAAAATAATTTGAACATCCGAATTTCCGTGCTCTGTTGAATGAGGTATGAAGCAACATAGAGCTCACATTCCAATAAAGCAGCCACTGGCTATCATTAGTGTTATAAACCTTTGTGCTGTCCCATGGGTCCAAGCGGGCGAGGGACAACTACGTCATACAGACAGAGCTTAAGTGTGGAGTTATTTGAGATACAGGGATTGAGAATGCAAGCGAGAATGGGGGGACGGGACAGAAAGCTGCTTTCTCAGAGAAAATGGCAGAAAAAAAAGAGAGAAGGGAGTGGGTGGAGCTTGTCTCTTAAAGGGACCTTTGCGTACAGACTAGGACCCTGAGCTGGCCAGGATACAGCCTGGGTACATCCTGCCAGATGGCAGGGCTGGCCAACACAATGCCTGAATCCTAACAATTGGTACCAGTTAAGTAGCCAAATGTCAAGATTCTGGTCTCCATCATCTCCTGCCACCTTGAGTCTCCAGGTCCTCCAGGCACGTCATTGGTCCTTAAGTGGCGGGCATCTGAGTTCACAAACTCTGTTGTATCTAAAGTGCACGGAGGGCCCCTGAATGGACACACGTGCTTCTCAGTCCCTGTGAGTGCATTCGCAGAGGTGGATGTCCACAACTCCTGCTTTGTCTGCTGTGATGAAAAACACCAAGCGCATCTTTCTTTGTGGCTATGAGAGCAAACCCTGGTTATGATACACAGTGAACGTAAGTCCTTTCTCCCAAATCCACCTGAGGCCCTAACTTCAGTGTGGTTACATTGGATATGGGGGTCTTTGGGGGATATTACTAACGCTGCATGAAGTTATAGGGGTTGTAGTGGCATTTCACTTGTATTTTAATAAATAAAATTTGCCTGAGGATCAGAAAAGAAAAAGCCACACTGACAAGCTGTAGTAGACCAGGCAGTAGTAACATACACCTTTAATCCCAGTAGCCACACTAGCTTGCCACAGAAACCAGGCAGTAGTGGTGCACGCCTTTAATCCCAGCACTAGAGAGGAATAGAAGGCAGGAGGAGACAGCTCCCACTCAGTCTCATTCTGAGACTCCTGAAGGCAGGATGGCCATTTTTGGACTGAGGTCAAGGTAAGAGCCAGTGGCTGGCTGCTTTGCTTTTCAGATCTTCAGTTCTCTGAGTTTTTATTAATTGTGCTTCAAGGAGTGGGATCCCAACTTGACAGGATTAGCATCCTTAGAAGGGACATCAAAGAACTCTCCTCCACGTGGCTGCTCTGGGTGCCTAACATGAGAAGGCAGTTGTCTGCAAACCATTAAGAGTGTTCAGCAGAAACAGACTGGCATTTCAGAACCCTCATCTTGGACTTCTGACCTCCAGATGGTGGGAAAACTGTTTACACTGCCAGACAAAGCGATTCTGTTATAGCAGCTCAAGCAGACTAATGTAAATCCGGTAAGAAGTACTGTAATCTTGCTCATAGGGCTGACACAAATAGGCTGTTGATGGGGGATTCCCCATCTTCCTTTTTGAATGTTGTGGCATTTCCTCAGGTTGGGACCACTCCGAAGTTACTGGTGGCTGCTATTACTGTGGGATTCGGCACACCCAGGCCAGCAGGTGAACCAAACACTCAGTATCTCAAGTCCTTCTACCTGGTGTTAAATCTGAAAGGGGAATGACTACACAATCTAATCACTCTTTGGGTCCGTTTTGTCCCTCATTCAATTCTCAGATCCTCAAATGCAGGGTGCAGTCAGCTTGCTCCACTGTAAGAGAGCATGGAAATCTCCAAGTCGTTTCAGAGCCCAGCTGGCTGGAGGGAGCCAGGGGGTGTTTGTTGGTCTTGCTGTGGGTTGTAGTGGGGGGGAGGGGGTACGGTGAGCTCTTCTGCACTGATGTCAGGCTCATCTGCCACGCCTGTCTCCCTGTAAGGTTTCCCTGTGGTCCCCTCTGCTGACCAGTCATAGATGGCTTTGCCTTCTGGTTATTCCCTTACACCCTGACATTTCTCCTTCTGTACTTTCCGGGTCTTCTCTTTTAACAATCTTATCTCTTGGCAGTATCTTCAAATTTGCCCTCTTCTGCCCCTTCCCCAAAAGACAGGAAAAACTGTGGAAAGGACAGGGTTGGGTAGATTAAACTTTCCTTCAAAGTGAATGCAGGATGCTCAGGAGGCTGCCTAGATAGAGTCCAGGGCTGCTTTGAAGTCTGTTTTACCTTCCTTTCTATTGCAGGATTCACACTCCTAGAGGATCATGCTTGAGTTCATGAGTATATTTTAACTGATTTAACACAGAGTCTATGAATTAAATTGATGTGGACGGGGGTCAGCAGACATTCTTGGTCAAGGGCCAGGAAATAAACATCCTAGGCTTTTACAGCCACAGGCTCCGTGGCAACAGCCAGCCAGCCAGCACAAAAGCAGCATAGATAACCTGAAATGAGTGTGGTTGAGTACTAACAAACTTTATTTATGCTAATTAAAGCTTAAACGCATTATAATCTCCATATCCATGAACTATTCCTTTGGTTTTTTACATAATTTATGCATCTGAAGTCCTTTCTTAGCCTGTGGCTATAGTTGGTTGGCTCCACTGTAGAAAGGTATGTGGGGCCCGTGGCTTCACGCTCACAGCCAGAGAAAGGGCACTACATTTAGACTGTCCCACATTCTTGCCTTTCTCCTCACTAGTGGTGCCACTGAAGGTAGGTGGCCATCTACTTGAGTTGGGTTCTCATCTGTGCAACATATGCTGTGATAAGTTCATGTCTCTCAAGCCTGACACAGTGACCCACAGAGGCACCAATAGGTGTTGTGGTTATCCTCAGCTGCACGAAACTCAGCTGCCCGAGGTGGGAGGCCAGGAGTGAGAGAGGACTGTTGATTTCTCTTGTAGGTGCTTCCGCCTCAGGCCCTTCTAGCTGAGCAGGTACTCACACCCGTTCAGACAGGAAGCTACATCTCACATGGCTCCTTGGTCCTAGGCTGATGAGGCTAAACACGGAGATGCCAAGATATCTCTAGATTATACCCCAGCCCACAGGCCTCTACCAGCACAACGGCTAAGAAATACTTGCTCCAATTAACTGTTTCCCTACTGGCCTCCAGGCTGAAATTGGCAGCAAAGGGGGCATGAGCCAGCACAGTTGCCCTCCCTCAACCATCTGCATTTAATGCTACTTTATGAAGCTCCAGGGCAAGCCTGCTCCCCTCAACTCCCCACAGTCAATTCAGGGCTCTGGAATCAATCTGAATTCTCAAAGTCCAGCTCTGTCACTGACCAGCTGGCTGACGGGACACGCTGTTTACCCTCTCTGGACCTGTGGTCTCTTACAGATATAGAGATAATGCCAGTTATTGTGAATAGGACAGGGCCAGTCAGCGTTCTGAATAAGTCCTGATAGTGTGTACGGAGCCACTTCCCTCTTCCAGGCTCTACAAAGGTCTCCTCACCCACCCAGAACACAGGTGATGCAGAAAGCAACTTTTCTTGTGTGTGGGGGTCTTGGGGCTGGGCCAGAAAGCGTGTTTCCTAAAGTGTTTTGAATCCAATCTGCGGTCCCGAGTACATATGTGTCTTAGGACCTGCAGCAAGTACTCCATTGGGCACGACTGGATACTTAAAGGAGTAAATAATCCAGGACTTGACTTTCCATCAATCCTATTACAGAACCTTCAGGATACGAATGACCACAGATAAGGATCCTCTCCCCTCAGAGACAGTAGGAGAGTAGTTCTTTTGTCCCCTGGGAACCAAGAGGTCTGTCTGCCAGGGACTCCACTCCTCCCTTCTCACCCCGCTTCTGCTTAGGCTGTTTGGGTAAAACCGATTTGTTACTGCCACGCTCAGTTTCCAGTCCCATGCTGACCTCATGGAATACTGTCCTCGTACCAGCCAGGACTTATTTTACCTGTTTCCCGTTCTATCCCACAGATACCTTGTATGGGGACCATTAAAGCAGCTTAGCATGTCCTGGGTTCGTGCTATTCAGCTCCTGTACTTCAGATGATGGGTCTGGAGAAGCTGAAAACAACCAAACTAAAACCAAGTCCTTGGATTTGGTGAACCTTAATCCTGACTCAAAGAAATTCTTTTGAGGTTTCCAGACCAAGCAAATGAACAAAGTCACAAGGTAAGACGTAAGGAGCCTAGGCACCAAGCTCTTCAGTCAGTGTGGCTTTGTGCCTGCCCTTTCTCCAGTGCCAAGGTCTCAGCTGAGTTCTTCAGAGTTCTGGTTTCCAGGCTGAGAGGTCCCAGGCTGGTATCACAGACGCCAGGACTGGGGCGCTGTCTTCTGCCAGTGGGACCATGAGCTCTAGCTTCAGCCTCTTCTAAGATAGCCTGACAGCTGGCTTTCATTAGGCAGGTTAGATGTAGTCTCCTCCTAACTGACAATCACAACTTTGCAAGGACAAATGAGGTTGCCTGTGAGAAATACAAAATACTAGTGAAGTATACTTGACTAACCCTTGGGTAGGGGCTGTCTGGGATGGGGCAGAGGCCCGGAAAAACCAAGACGCTACCACTGAGTTAGTTCTTCTCTATCTAGGTGAGCCTCTTAGGTCTCCCTTAGAGATTCAAAAGACCAATCGTTTACTCTTTGTGTGTATGTGCACATGTGTACAGGTGAGGCCTACTTTCAGGAGTAGGTTTGCTCCTTTCACTACGTGGCTTCAGAAGGTCAAATTTAGGTCGGTATGCTTGGCAGCTGGCCCCTTTACCCACTGAGCTAATGACCAGCTAACGCTGGTCCTCTATTAGAGATGTTAAGCCGGTGGTCAAACTTTCTCACTTGAAAACCAGTCACAGGGCCCTGGGACCTTATCCATCCACTGCTGATGCCTAGGACTGGTGACTCCACCCACCAGTGAGGCTGGGCTAATGTCCTGTCCCCACTGAGGCCTCACTGATAACCTTCTGGAGGCAAGTACTTCCCTACAGCCCAGAAAAGAAAGTTCTTAGGAGACCAGGTGTTCCTTAAGGGACACACAACCCACAGCAGTCTAGCTCCCTCAGAGATTCCAGGTTTGAGGCGAGACTTTCGGTGTGGTTTTAAAGAAGTACCTTGAGGGAGAGCCTTTGCACGGGGTCTGAAGGAGAGAGGCTATGTGGCTTACTCCGCTCCGTGGCACAATTTAATCTGTGTTCTGGTGGTAGGGAAGGAATTGGGCACCTAGAAGGGCTGTAGGTTCCTGGTACACACGATACACTCATAAAATGGCCAGATAACCAGGCATCCAAGTGCTAGTGAAATCTTCAATACAAATCTGAATTTTAAACTTTCCATTTTAAATCCAGGATCCAGACCACAGACAGTTTATTATGTGAGACATGGGTAAAGAACGACCAAAGGACGTTATGACTGTGAGTGACATGGAATTAGATGAAGAGGCTCAAGTTTGCTGAAGAGAGTTTAAATTTGGCTTTTGCTCTCGGAAACGTCAAAATAATCATAAGAAGCACTTGTGCCTTACAGAGCAAATAATCCACAGTGTCAATTTCATTTTGCAAACAATGTCACAATAGCAGTCAACAGAAGCCTAAACACCCGCGAGTTAACATACAGGTTTGGTAGCTAGAACAAGGGATTGTGCATGCTGGTGGCTGCCGGGTCCACACTGAACCCGTGACCTACTCGGAGGTTTGAGTGGGAACTGGGGGAGTAGCTTTCCACATGAACAACATGAGACAATAGGAAGAGCAGACTCTGCTGGCGGCTATAATGCTCATTCGCAGTAAGGCTTTCAAGATACAGGAGTTTTTATAGCATTTGTATTTTAAGGATTTAGGGCAAATACATTTTTTCTACTTGATAAAAAGAAAATTAGTACTTAAAAGGTTCAAAAAATATATTGATTGAGTGTTTCTTTTACATAAATAAATTATATTGATTTTTTTTTTAGGATTTAACAGCTGAAAACCCTTTCTGCTTCCACTGGAGGCAAAACCGAACAGAATGTTATTTCAATAGCAAGCAGCATTTCTAAGAAATCTGTTGTCAGTATCACAGACCTTCTACACTACAAACACATCATTAAATAGCATTTATTCAGTTCTTGGATTCTTCCTTCTTATAGATCAGTTATAGAATTTCTAGTTTATATCTATGTTTCATAAAACCGGGACTCTCCTTTTTGAAAATACACCTGATTGGTTTTTTCGGTCACAATTTAACAGACTTCTTTGAGATGCTCATTTTAACATTTACATAATTTATAAACCCAAATGTATAAAAGACAATGACAAAATCATCATAAATAAATAATGCAAACTGAAATAGCATGCCAAACTTTCAGACCTTCTGATAAATTAGCAAGACTGTAACAGGAAGAGTAAAAACAGAAACAGTCAATTGTGAAGACGCAGTGAGCCTGGTAGGCGGAACCCCTGCCACCTGTCCGCCCCTGAGCCCTGGCCTCAGAGAGCTGAACCGGGCTTGGTTGGTTGAAGTCTCAAGCATGAGCTGTCCATGAAAGAGACCATCAGGAGGGACATGATGTAAGGGGGAAGAGGGAAGAAAATGGGAAGCTGAAGTGCCGCTGGCTGGGCTCCTCCCTGCTCAATTCTTCAACATGGAGAAGCAGGAGAGAGTACGCTGCCGACTTCACAGAACCTTGCCTGACTGGCAATTTGGAATCTGGGCCCAAATCTAAGATACAGACAGAGTAGGGAGATAAGGGAGCGGGGGAAAAAAATTTCACAGTTGTAATGTCAAAGGTGGTGTGTGTGTGTGTTTAGTCACACTACACTGATGACAGAGTCTAGCAAGTACTGAGCAATTATCTCCCACAGGCTCCATAAAGCCTGGCTCTGGGGGAAAGAACACAAAATGAAATCCAGCAGGTTTCTTAACATGGAGGGGAATGAATGAGCGGCTGCAGTCCCGGGGGATAAGGTGCCAGCAGTGTTAGTGGACCAGGTGAGCAGTGCTCTCCCACTTGCTACAGTAAACGCAAGGTGCTGAAGCTTCTCTCGTTTAGTGGGCATGATATGCATACTGCCTAGCTGGCCAGTATTTCCTCTTGCTGCAGGTGTCTGAACAACTACGAGGGGGAAACTGTACTACTATCAGGAAGGTTCTGGTTTAAAGAAGCCATCAGTACGTGCATTTTCAATCATCAGTTCATACACTGCAGACTACTCAGTAACCATAACACAGGGACTCTTGAACTAAGAAAGCATGTACCAGCACTTCCTACTCTGTGCCTTTCGTTCCCTTGATATGGTCTTCCTATTCAACTGCTGCACTTGCTTGTCTCTGCTCTTTGGCCCCGATGAATCCTTAGGCAGCTTTCTTCTGCCATTTTCTTCCTCAGATAAGTGGGACTTGAAAGAGAAGGGGGAATAGGTATGTCACCAAGTACAGTATCAATTATGATTGCTGGAATGAACTGGATAAAAGAAAGAATTCTGTGCCCCCTACACAAGGTAGATGACACTCATCTAATGAAAACGGCAAGACCCTGCAACTATTAACATGTTACCATAGTTCTCAGACAGGAAATTAGGTAGGCAATATTACTGATGGAGACACAGGTTCTCATGAAGGTGAAGTGAGGGAAGTAACAAACCTTTATGGGATAAGAAACTTACAAGTCACAATCATTTCTTAAATGAAAAAGTTCTAATTGGTATCATCATTGGAGTCTTTGAGCCCCCCTTCCCCGGCCTGTGCCACGTGTTCTCTTTCTGGAGGCAAAGTGGTACTGAACTCGGTGCAGTTCTGATCACTGTCTGGCTCCCTCTCACACCCGGAAGCAGGCTCTGGGTTGGGGTTATCCCCCTTTGTTTTCTTCTTTTTCCTCTTCTGGCTCTCAGGGCTGACCATCTCTGAGTGTCTGCCCTGCTGCATGGCTGGCAAAGCCATGCCCATGCCAGGGGAAAGAAACATGGATGGGTAGATGAGCCCAGGAGACACTCCTGGGATGAGAAATGGGTTGAAAGCCACAGGACTGTTAGTAGTTATTGTGGGTTCAGACTGATCAGAAAACGGACCTGGGCCAGACTTTTCTTCAACCAGAGTATCTGCTTTTACTTCACGGCCACTTAGTTTGTCCTCTGTAGTTTTTTCAGTGGCTGAGGTACCACTTTTTGTTGTGCTTGAGAGAGATGCGGATGCAGTGGTCGTACAAGTGGTTGCCATGGGTGTGTTGAGGAGTCCACCAACACCAAACATCTGGGGCACTGCAGCCATGCCTGGCAGCATCATGGGTAGCATGCTCAGGGTGCTTTTAACCTCTTCACCAGTAGGCATGGTAGCAAAACCAGCTGGGAAGCCCACCAGCCCAGTGAGAGGAATGCCTGGAATATTTCTCACATTCTGCAATCCTACCAGGTCCATCCCTGCAATCAGCCCATTCATGAACAGTGGTCCCATTCCAGAGGGCGAGTCTGCCACAATGGCTGGAGCTTTTAGGAGTTCAGTCCGAGGCCGCCTCCCCCTTCTGCGGGGGCCTGCATCTCGAAGCACAGGCTCAGCTAGGGTGTGATTGAATTTGCTTTCTGGGAGAAACCCCTGAAAAAGGAGAAAGAAACATTGGATGCTGAAAGTTACCAAATGGCAGGCGGTGGCTGCAGCTGTGTACTGTGTACTGGCACAGCTCATTCCCAGTTCTACACAGGGCTCGATTGGAAGGGAGAATCTCCTGTCCACAGGCCCAGAGGGTTTGACTCTTAGAGGCTGAGAGGATTGAGTGGCAAGGAAGCAACCAGATGCTGGTGTCTATCAGACAGTTATTTCAACACCAACTGGCAAGAGCAGTTTCTATTGTGTGAGAAACTGGCAGAGCTGGAACCTGGAGACCAGCACTGAAGATGCCCCAGCTTGACTCTGTCAGCCATGAACTCTCACTGGAGCACTGCAGTCATCCTTCTCACAACACCAGGTCACACTGAAGCAGCAAAGCAGAGTGTGCTGGGGGAAGGGGTTGGAGTCAGGTGCAGTTAATTTTAAAGGCTGACTGAGCAACACTACAGCTGAAGCTGAGACTCAGGATGGGCCAGCATTGGTTTAAAACAAAACAAAAAGACAGTGACACTTAAAAGTCTCCGAAAGCAATGTTTAACAGGCACCCCCAGGCCCGTAGGAAGGACCACATGTGAGGGACATGGCAGGGACATGGCAGTTAATGTTGCACATGTCCCAATCTTTCCTGAGTCCCTGCAAGTAGTGACTTGGGTTGAAAAGGGATGCATACACACAGGCTGTAGAAATGAAGGACCTGAGCACCGCTGGGCACACGTCACTCAGATAACTAAGGCTCTGGCTTCCCTTAAGGAAGAGCATATATTTTCCTCTTTTTGGGATTCGTGCCAAAAAACTTTTTTATTTTATTTTTTTGGAGATAGGGTCTCTCTCTATAACCCTGAACCTCAGAACCCTGTTCTGGAACTTCCTATGTAGGCCAGGCTGGCCTTACACTCAGAGAGATCCACTTGCTTCTACTTCCTGAGCGCTGGGATTAAAGACTCCAGTTTTTTAACGAGAACAGAGCTCTGCAGTCAGCACTTCTGTCACTTGGCACTACACACGGACCCCACCACGCCTCACCAGGCAGGAATGGTGGCATAAGCAGGAGAGTACACGGTGGCAGGGAACGTAGGGGCTGCAGCAGAAACCTGCTTCTTGGGGCCCATGGTCTGGCTGTAAAGAGGACTAACAGAAGATACTGGAATTACAATGGCTCCACCTCTAACTTGTTTTGCAGGCGATGTGAATCCGGGAAAGAAGAGAAATCTGTTTCCTCCACAGGAAGAAGTGACCTCTCTTTCCATTTGCTGCCTGCAATCCCTGGGCCATGGACAACTACACACACCTTTCTCTGTTGTACTGCACCGTTGCGTGTCCCTGCTATGTTAGTTTATCACATAATATAGAGCCACAGGATTAAAACATCCTTGTGCTGTTGAGCAGTCTCGGTCTTTTCTCATACTAAGGGTGATACAAAAAAAAAAACCCCTTTGTGTTGGTAATTGCACACACACACACACACACACACACACACACACACACACACGAGACCCCACTACCCTGTATTTCCTCCTAGCATTCACATTACAATCTTCCTTTAACTCTAGCAAGAGTGAAACCAGGATGGTCAGAGCACCAGTGATGAGTCTTGTGCCACTGGGTGTGCCCTGTGGATACAACATCAGGCAGTGTAGCGAACCACGTGCACCTGTGCAGAGGAGCCCAGCATCTCTGAGCTGATCTGGTGCCTCTTCCTGAGAATCTGAAGGGAGGGGCTCCACAGCTGCCTATCTGAGAGCCAGAGGCAGTGTTCTGGCTATACTCCTCAGGAGAGCAGAAAAGAAGAAAAAAGGAGGCGCAAGTCTTACCAACAGATACTACAGGGCGGGAGGAATCCTATTATTAGGGCCTGGAGCCTTACTTAGACCATGGGCTTTTGAGCAGGTAAGGAATCTACTCACCACTTCCTGAGGCTGGTATAGGAACTGTACTCACAGCTCTGGCATGGGCCATTGCTTTCACTGCCCCTCTTCTCCCAAAACTATTAAAAAAAAAAACAAAACCCCACAATGCTCACCAGAGCTCTGCTTAAAGAGCAGTGACGGCTGTTGGTGACACTGGTTTCAGGCTCTCAGAGAGCTATGAGGACAGGCATAGAGGGCTCCAAGAGATGCTCCTAGAATGCATCTATTTCCCTGCAGTGAGTGCTCAGGAAGGTGTGACAGTGACAGGAAGAGCAGCAGTGGAAATGCAACAGGACAGCCTAATCCAAGGCTCCATCACCTCATCTCAGCTTATTGTCACACACTGAATCAGTATGACAGGGTCACATCCCAGAGAACTAACAATTCACAGACATGTGACTCAAATGTTTGAGTCCCCAGAGATAGCTATTTTTTGAAGGCTATACCTGTCCCTCAATTTATCAAAGAATATTTCAGAAAAAAAAGTTATCATGGACAAAAATATTTTTAATGGCAACTCTGAGAGTTCTTCACAAAGCTTTAGTTTATATCATAGAGTTGGAAGGAACCTCTTCAACAGCAACAGGAGTCTTTCCCTTTCAGAACTGAGTGGCAAGGACTACCGTGGCCGAGCTGCTAGGGACCGAGTAGGAGAAGTTCCCAGGCTCTTTTCATACTACACCATGCCACATGCCTCTATTCCAACAGGACCAGCTACTGGCAATATGCCAGGATGGTTTGTCCTGTAGTGTGCCTGGCAAGTGCTCATCCTGGCTTTGGGTTATTCACGAGAAATAAACTTCTGGCTGTTTATTTCTAAAAAGAGACAATAGGGTCTGAAGGATGGGACCCAGCTAAGAGGATGATTTTCTACCAACCTGTCTTGAGCTCACCAATGCAAACCACTTTGCTCTGAGCCTCTGTCTATACCATGCCATCTTGGTCCCTTGCTTGTCAATAGCCCCTCTTGCTAAGCACAACTGTATCTCAAAGCTTCTCTGAGACCCTTCTCTGCAGTCTGCCCTTGGCTAAGAGTCCGGGAGATGTCCCAGGAAGTCTTCTTCCTTTACACTACACATACTCTAATTCTTCCCATAACTTTCTAATGTGAAGGGCACATTCCACCTCCAAGGTCTTTCTGTTGAGAAGACAGGTTGAGCACTTGATAATAAAACCTTGTCCCAATTTTTAACTATCTGCTCTAAGAAAGACCTTTACCATAATTTAAACCAGTGGTTCTCAGCCTTCCTAATGCTGTGACCCTTTAATACAGTTCTTCATGTTGTGGTGACCCTCCAAGCATGAAATTATTTTTGTTGGTATTTCATAATTAATTTTGTTATTGTTATGAATCATAATGCAAATATCCGATATTTGATCCCTGTAAAAGGGTTGTGACCCACAGGTTGAGAAGAACAGATTTAAACTAAGTTCCTTCCCAGGGTAACTCCTTCATGACTCTGGCCTCCCTGGTCCTGCCCACTAGGTGCAAAGAGCTCCTCAGGCTCTAAGAGGTCTAAAACCATCCTCTCCTTGCCCTTGCTGAGAGTCACAGACTTAGCAGGAGCACAGGAGGCTCTGAGAAACCACAGCATGATGGGAAGGTGGAGGTTGCTCTTTCTTTTCTCCTCAGGTATTGAGAGCAAATGAGCCCAGGGGAAGAGAATGATTCACGTACACTGTGGGACACATGGATAGAGGAAGTCAACCCACACCACTTCCTGTGGAAGAGAGCTACTTCAGCCACCCAGATGCTGCCCACCACAGACAGGTGCCCCTCCCAGCAGCACTGCGACCACACACAGCAGTCAAATCGGGCTTTGGCAGTTCTCCATCCTGGTAATTATACCCTGGGGAACAAACCTGCTTCCTCTTCTAGAAGAGGCCTGGACAGAGCACAGGGAGAGCAAGGAAAGTGGAGGTGAAGCTGCTTTGCAGATGACTGCGTGGGTTCTGACCAGAGAACAGCCTCATCAACAGATGATGGCATTTGTCCTCAAACTCTTGGGCAGAAGCAACAAAAGGATGAGGACCAAATAATTCTCTTACAAAGGCATACCCAGAAAACACTGGGTAAAAAGAGACCTGGTAACTAAATGGTTAAATATCTCCAAAGCAAAGCAAAGCAAAACAAAGAAAAACAATGCCAGGTCTAAAGGACATTTCTGGAATCACTGGTAAGATCTGAGTGTGACTCTGGAAGCACAGTCTATCAATGTTCACATGTGTGACAGTGGTGATAACTAGGTAGTTAAACTGTGTCTGTAACAAACAATGAAGACCTCTCTAAATGTTGAATGTGTACAGATGCAGCTGATAAGCAACCACTGCACCCCGAGCATTACAAAGTCAAGTCTTGCTGCCCTTGGTGCTATATGAACTTCACCCAAACTGTAGCACATATAGCAGGACGTTGAGCTCACACCAAGTTCCTTACCAGCTTTTAATCTATTTTTAGAAGGGGGAGGGTTTCTGCCTTGGGCTTTGCGTGTTCACATCCCACCCCCAAAACTGGGTAGCAGTGAGGGCTTTACAGTGATGAGATCATGGGGCCAGCTCCTTATGGATGGGATTAGTGCCCTCCTGAGATTCCAGAAGAGCTTATTTGTTCCTTCTCCGTGTGAGGGTGCAGCAAAACGTTTATGAATATTGGGCCCTCACTAGATACTTGACTTTTAATTTCTCAGCCTTGAGAATAATAGGAAACAAGTTTCTGTTGTTTATAAGCTTTTGCTACACCCACTGAATGGTGTAAGAGCCCCTTTGGGAGAGAAGAGGCAGCATGCTCTGAAAGCTGCAGAGCTACTGCCCACCTATGTGTTAGGAAGGCTGAGCAGCCCCTAGTGCCAGGCAGACAAAAGCTTCCTGTTTTTGCCTCAGTGTAGAAAAGGGACCTCAGAGGCAGCAAATGTGTTTATTTCATAAGGGAAGGTGATGTGCTATAGAAAGGAGATTGGCTTGCAAGATTAGAAAGGGGTTTGCTGGCAAGAGGGTCAGCGCCTGTGAAGTAGCAGTGAGCGGTACTTTCCAGGACTGTGAAGGAAAGTGCTGGGCATGTAGGAAGAAACAAGGAGGGAACTGGAGGTCTTCCCCTGGCCTTCCAAAAACACTTTGTGCTGAGGCACAGGACAAGACTGGGCAAGGGTAGATAGGATAGAAACAGAAGCGGGGTCAGTGGGTAACACAAGGTCCAAGAATAAGAACAGCCTTTCTGAGAACAAAGCAAGAAAGTGTAGGAAGGGAGGACAGACCTGAGAGACTGACCAGGCCTGGCTGCGCCACGGCAGCAGATCCAGAGGAATAAAGGCAGCTATCTGTGGAGCTGCTGGGAGAGTGGCAAAGCCAGTGGCAGCTCCTTTCTGCAGAGGACCTGACTAGGGTGGGCAGTTGCAGTTCGGTAAGAAATCACACTCCTGCAATCCCACCAACATAGCTGATGCAGGGAATGCTGTGGCTTGGCTAAAGAGCTGGAAAGTCCACGAGAGCTTAAATTTATAGGAAAGCTGGGGAAGAGCAAGTGCCTCCACCTCCGGATGCACTGATAAAATGCTCATGATGTGCTGTGGACCCAAAGTTTCCTAAGGGAAATGTCACTACCGCCCCCTAGAGGTTAGGACTTTTCTATCTCAAACTTGTATCCATCTGTAAGCTATAATTAACTCAGATTCGTTAGACTCCAAGTATTCTGAGGATGTCTTTGAAGCTGCTTCCAGTCTTATGATTCTATATTAGGAAAAGGGCAGTGCTCAGAGTCAGCTGTTTTTCATTGTCAGTGCAGAAGCACTAGGAAGAAATGTCTTACTTAAATGGTCATTAAAAACTTAGGTAAGACATGCCTGTTTCCATCAAGGCATCTATGAAATTTGAAACAACAGAGTGACATCCAGGGCTAAGGATTTTTATCCCTTGTACTCTCTACAAATAGTAGAAAAGAGTTAAAGATTCTGGAATGGTTTAACAAGCTGTTCAGGAGGTGGAGATGGGAAACATACGCTCAGGAGACACAGCTGCTCGACAAGGTCTGGGCACTCACAGCAGTTTAAGCTTTCTGTGCTGGCCTCCTGTCCCTGGAAACACACCATCCCGCTACCCACTGCTCAGCAGGGCTTTCTTTCAAGTGTGCACGGTATGGCACAGTCAAGATGGTTCCCTTGCTCCCACACTCAGTGACCTCTTCCTACCCTCAGTCCTGGCTCCTTGGGGACAGCAGGAACTCTTTCTTCTCCACTCAGAGAGGTGATGTCTAATTTTCCAGGTTCTTTGCAGCGTGGTCTCCTCTGCTTGGGTTTGTCTGAAAAACTCTAGGAGGCAAATGGAGAAAATGTCACAAAACATTCTGCCATAGTCTGATATGGGTGGTGCTTTACCCAGAACTCTACACCAAGCCTACCTGCTCTCCTTGAGGTATCAGAACTCAGACAGCAGGCTGGGAAACAAGCTGTGGCCACGCCTTGACTGGGGCTGGAGCTGACTCAGCAGCTTCCTGGGGGCACCACTGCAATGCTCACCCTTCTGAGTCTCTCTTCACTGTTACCTCACTAGCTGGTTCTGGAGTCGTGTGTGTGTGTGTGTGTGTGTGTGTGTGTGTGCGCGCGCGCATATAGGATATGTGCTCCTGTTTCTGTCGATTTATCTTAAGGAACAGATGGGGTTGGCATGAACCAAGAATGAACACCAGTGCTTAGGAGTCCTCCTGCAGGTTCCTAACTGGGAGGAAACAAAGAAGAAGCAAAGGCATCTAGGTGACTTCAATGAAGTTCACCAGAGCAACAGAGAAAAGAGCCTTCTGCAGAAGCACCAATAAATTAAATTGGAAAAATTTCATCAAGTGGTAGAGTTTATTCAACCTAAAGATTCATCTGCGACCTTACGATGTGATGTGGTCACTTTTGGGGAGATACTAGGGGGTGAACTTAAGTCAAATTCTGTTCTTGTAACTTTTGCATGTAAACTTATTGGTATGCTCTAGCAATTTTCTGTTACTGGAGAATTTAAACATTAAAAACTAAAACAAAAAGATATCTTTAAAATGATGTTCTTGTCAGGTGGTGGTGGTGCACACCTTTAATCCCAGCACTCAGGATGCAGAGGCAGTCAGATCTCTGAGTTTGAGGCCAGAATGAGTTTCAGGACAGCCAAGGCTACACAGAGAAATCCTATCTCCAAGAAAAAAGAAAGAAAGAAAGAGAGAGAGAGAGAGAGAGAGAGAGAGAGAAAGAGTTCTTCCAAATAGCTTCCACCTTCTAGTTTCCCTCAGCAGAAACTTCCCCAAGTTTACAGTGAGCTAACTGGCCTGGGGTAATAGAAGCCAACACTTACTGCCCCAAAGCCAGGGACATCCAAGGAGTAGTCAGCTTGTTGCCGCAGCCAGTCAAGTAGGCTCTTGCTGGGAACAGCTTTCTCAGTCTGGTCAATGGATGTTGCCGGCTCAGGAGCTGAGGAAGCAGCTCCTGGCCCTTCAGGGTGTGTGGTGCTCAGGGTAGTCTGCCCCGAATCTTCATGGACTTCCTAGATTAAGAAAAAAATGAGCACATGTAGATAATCATGGAAGGATAAAATGAGTTCCTGAAACATCAATCTCTACATTAGCCATGTTGATTACAGGTCTACTGTAGAGCATGTAATAGGTCTACTGTGGAGTATGTAGGTGCTCATTAGTCGTGCTGATCATGGGTCTACTGTAGAACATGTAGGTGTTCTTTGACTTTTCCATCTGCTCCCAAACCATTATCAACACCGGGTGTTTGAATCTGAACCCATTGAACTACTGACTGCTCACTGCTCCTACAAATGCTAGGTGCGCAACACTGGAATGCCTTCCACCTGTCTACTCAGCAGGCTTGACCTCCATCCTAACGCTCCACCCCTTTGTCATCATCACTCACTGTCCCTAGACACTGCCTCCCTCTGTCCAGCACTTTGTTCAGACTTCTTACATCCCAGAAAATTCGAAGAAGGGCTTTGCTCACCTTTTCCTCCTCTGTGGTTTGAATGTGTGTCTTACTCAGCTCTGAAACACCAATACCTATATGGGTCTGATAAAATTCTACAATAATGCTAATAGTACTTGTATCTACAAATTTAAAAACTATCCAGAAAAAAAATAACATTTTTTTCTTCCAGTCACTCCTTTGGAATACTATGAGCACAAGAGGAAAATCACTGCTTTGTATTTTTAGAGAAGCACATGCCTTTAACAGCAGGGAGAACACACTCAGAAGCACATAGTTGGAGAGGTGGCTTGATAAGCACAGAGCTTGGCTTATATACATGAGGACCTGAGTTAGGTCCCAAGAACCCCCCACCCTTTTTTTAAAGCCAAACTGACCAAGAAAGATGATGGCTCAGTGACTAAGAGTACCTACATGGCAGCCCATAACTATCTGTAGCTCCAGTTCCGGGGAATCACTGCCCTCTTCCAGACTCTGTGGGTCAGGCATATGCATACAGTGCATAATACACATTTAAGCAAAACACTCATACACACAGAATAAGAATAATAAACCTAAACTCCCTTACCAAAACACAAGACTTAAAACAAACAAACAACAACAACAACAAACACAAGCTTGTACCATCAGAGCTGGGAAAGTGGGAAGAGGTGGATCTCTGGGGCTTACTACACAGCCAGTCTGGCCTAACTGACAAGTTTCCAGGCAAGTGAGAGCCTAGTCTCAAAAAACCAAAAGGTGGATGTTGCCTGAAGCATAATATCCAAGGTTGTCTTCTGGCCTCCATGTGTTCATGCTAGTGTGTGTGTGTGTGTGTGTGTGTGTGCGCGCGCACACACACACACACTTCAATTAGCGTGAAGGAAGAAGGTGCTGTGGTGGACACCTCAGACCAATGAAATCAGAACAGGTAGATTGGAGGTTCCTACTGATCCTGGTGGCTGAGGTAGGAGGGTCAAGCGAGCCCACAAATTTGAGACTAGCCTGAGTAATACTGAGATATCACCACCCCTGCCCACCTTAAAAAAGTGTGTGTGGGGTTTATGATATATGTTAAATATCAGACTATTAAAGTGAAAACACAAAACAAATAGTAAAATTATGTGTAGGACTAGACAGGGAAAAAGATATGCCCCTTCTACCTCTCAAATTATATACAAAACCTGAGAGGAAGACACAATCCAAATGACACAGTTTATCATAGATGTTCTCAGTATCTAGAAAACAAGGCCCTCTAATTTCCTGCTGTCACTCAGGGGCTCCTTTTTAAAAGCTTTTACACATAAGGTAGTCATTTTTTTTTAAGAGTTGTTATGAGGCTTCAATTATGAAAGATTCTGAACACATTACACACTCAGTAAGTATTATTCTATTAAAAATTACGAAATATGATTATCTAGTTTTAGGACTCAAGATTAAAAAAGGATCAGCCTCCTCAATGGTTTACAATGCTCTTCTTTGAGTTTAGAATGCACTGCTTCTCTGTGATCTATAGGTATCCTCACAGAGGTTGTCTTTAGATGATTTCGAGAGATCAGAGTACAGTTCAGTGGTGTGCCCCATATCAGTGCCAGATACCAAGGCCAGAATCAACCTTCCATTTCAACCCCTGGAGCGTCTCACTATGCTGAGGGAATACTGCCTGTCACCTGGCCTTGCTATTCAACTGCTTGCTAATGGCTCTTTTTTTTGAAACACTGGAAGATTTGGGTTGCTTCTACTTGAAATAAGACCCTTTGGTTCGCTTTTCCAGGCTGCATGCATATTAAGGGCCACCAATGGGTGGTTAGTATTACCTATTCTAGAAAAGATGGAGGGCATTTCATAATGATAGAAAACAAGGACAACTTAAGTAGGTGTAAAAAATCTGTAATTAAAATAGTTGGTATCTGAGGAATAAATTTGTTTCTCTATGTACAATGGTTTTTACCTAATGGACTAGTATACCTACCAGAATTCCAGCCTGAAGTGTTTGCTCCTTCAAAAAGATGAGGTCCATCCCTCCTTCAATATGTTTTCGCCTCCCTCTCCGCCTTCTCAGGGCAGCATCATCTCTCCTGAGGCTTCCATTGACGATCTGTCCAGTTACTGGGTGGATTAGGCCAGCTTGCAGAATTCCAGACAAGTCCATACCTAGGGCTCCTTGAAGTGAACCGATAGCCCCAATCTTAGGGGTGCTGGTGTTCACTGGGAAAGGGGATGTGGCTCCTGGGGACCCCTCTGATGAGCAGGAGAGGTCTATAGCCGACTCCCCATGCCAGCCATTGAGGACAATGGGGGGACGCCCATGGGTAGCAGAGTATTGTTCTAGGCTCCGAGTTTTGGCATCCCTTTCCACCTCAAACTCAAAGGAACGTCTGTGCTTTTGTTCATCTTTTGTGAATACTGGGGCTAAGAAGCTCTCCTGTGAACACATATGGCAAAAAATTTGAATGTAACTTCCGCGACCAAACACCAGCTTCATCTCCAGGCCTCTCACGTCCTCAGGACTTGTATTATTTCTAGTTATGTTCTCTGTGACCTCAAGGCTCCTCAAACATTAGTGCTAAAGCACCAGATGGCTTATTCAATCTAGAGTCTACTTTGGTGAATCTACACTTTTAACAGGATTTGGCCTGTACTGTGGTCACGAGCTTAAACCCAGAGATTCTCAGCCTCAGTTGCATATCAGAATCATTTGGGAAGTTAAAGCAAAAGCAACTCAATATCCAAGCTGCACCAGACCAAGTAAATCAGAGTCAGCAGTTTTTCAAGGTCCTGAGTCTAAGATGCAGTCAAACACCTCCTAAGTCACTCACCTTCCCTCCATATACACACCCCTTTCTGCCTTGAGTCCATTATTGATATCTGTTGCTACCATCCTCTGGCCTTTAAGGGAAGACACCTGTTCTTTCCTCAAGTCATCGCTGCCAAGTTTGTTCCTTTTTCATCTTCTACTCTTCAGCCTAGAACATTTTCTTTGCAGCATCCTTACTTGGTATGCTACTCTTCTTTCTTTGCTTCCCTTGGCAAGCTGCAGGCTCTAGTTTAGGTATAAAGCTCTGCTTTTACTTCATTTTTCTTTGTACCAAAGCTTTTAATAGCTCATCACAGTCTACAGAAAAAGGTGCAGAGTCCCAATTAACACTAACTACCTGACTGAAAACCCAAACCAAAACTCCTAAATACTTGTTGAGTAAACGACTTAATGGAAAGTGGGGTGTGGCTACCGTTCTTTGGTAGTCTGCACCAGCTGTAACCTCACCTTCTGGATTTGGGCTGCCAATGCTGCACCACTGCTGAAGCCATGTTCTGCTGCTTCCGGCTCTGAGAGGCTGTTTCGAGAACCTGCACTGCTGGTTAAAATTGGCGTGGGCAGTGCACCTGATGGCTCATACTGTTGAGTGGAGGGCCACTTCCCCTTTAACACCACATGGCAAATATTATCTAAGCGGTTAATTATCACACGATCCTGGGGGAAAAAATAGCAGCCCTGAGGAATAAGTTTCAAGTTATCCAATTCTGCAAAGTCCATGAGAGCAAGGTCAAGTTTTTTATATAAGGAATTGACCAGAAATGAGTTCTCAGATGCATTCACTACATAACCTATAAATAAATGTCAAGGTCTAGAAAATAAAGAATAAAAAAGTGCTATGACTGAAGATTCCCTCTTATGGTTTAATTGGTTTGGTGAATATAATCTTTTTCTTTTTCTCAGCGCATCATCTTCAATATTCAAATGTACATAGCTGAGATTGTCTAGTAAATGAATTTTATAAAGTTTAATGCAAAGGAATCAAAGCTGGGAACACACTGAGTGGAGGATGCAAACTCTGGAAGATACCTTTGGCCATTCTGAGAAGGAATACAAGGTTTTCTCCTGCAGCAACTGAGCAATGGTGGGAGCCCGTACTTCCTGTGCCTCTTCCCCAAGGTCTCCTGCAATGCCTGATGTCGAACTCTTACTCTCTTCCTCAGAGTATTTTCCTGGGTAGTCTGGAAAGACAGGTTAAAAAACAAACAAGTAGATATTTGGGAAATGCTAGTGATGTGAGGGTCTGGACATTTAAATCTATCTCTTCTGTTTTCAATTAGTCCACTCAGTGCTAACTTACTTTAAGTAAACTACAAATTGTCATGTTTTCTATCTCCAAGAGACCTAAACTGTTAAACCATAGAGGCAAACCCTGCTTGGGGCCACTGAGGCATGCTGTCATCTAAGACTACCTAAACATTCTTTGCTGGTTTAGTGGACAAGATGACACCAAACACTGTAATATTTTGACAGTTTGAAAGGATAGTCTAAGAGGTATGAAATGTGATAGACCAAGGGGATGATGCTAAGAAAGATGAAGTCATGGACTTTCCAACAAAGCTCCAAGTTTCATATAAAAAATAAAGCAAATGAACCAGGAGCTTTACTGTTAGCATAAGTAAAGGAAAAAGATTTTTGCTATTTTGAGACAAGATCTCATTATGTAGCCCTGGTTGGGCTGTTGAATTGGCTTTGAACTCAAACAGCTTTACCTACCTCTGTTTCCCCAGTGCTTGGATTAAAAGTGTGTGCCATCATACCAGGCAAGGGCAAAGTTAATTGTTAAGTGTGGCCTGGAATCTCAAAGACCTACTACTTAGCAATGACAGAGCATGAGCAGAGGGCAGCGAGATGTCCAAGGTGGAAACTTGGACCTCTTTTCCTGACAAGGGAAGTGTTAAGTTTTACTTCTGACTGTGAAATGAGCCTCCCAGGGAGCCAGAGCAGCTCTTTCCTAGGAGCAGTTCTGCTAGGACTGGCAGGCTTACAAATAAAGCAGACAGCCACGGCCTGAGCCCTCAGCGTTCTCCCTGCCTCACAGGGGAGATAGGAAACAGCTAACTATAAAGGAACAGTCACAGAGTGTGGCAGTGCTGTACATACATACAAGCATACAGAACATGGTGGTTCACGTGAGTAATCTCAGTATTTCAGAGGCCAAGTAGGAAGACTGGGACTTTGAGGCCAGCCTGGGCTATACAATGAGACCCCAACCCCAAGAGTAAAACATCCAAAGAGAAGAAAACATGATATGATGGGGAACAACAAGGAAGGCTTATCCTAAGTAGGTTAATACACAGGGAATAGGTGTGCAGGTGAGGAAGCAGATGAGCGGAGGGAAAGGCATGCTAGGGAACCAAGACAGCAGGAGTAAGGATAAGCATGAAGCTGGAGGCAGGAACCACCTAAGTTACCCTGAGTCCTATAAATTGTTGACATAAAACTGAATTTTGCTCTGGAGTCAACAGAAGCATCACTGAAAGGTTTGAATCAAGGGGTAGACCCTAAAGGAGTACCAGTAAGCTACTGCTCATTCAGGACGGCAGGATTTCTAGTTTCCAGAGTGGGCTAACTCGCCTGCACTACCTCTTCAGCACCTCTGGAGGCAGTGCCCTCCAGGGTCTGCACTGCACCCGTGACACCGCCCCCCCCCCCCGCAGAAAGGAGGGATGTCTCTGTCCGCTCACACTTACCCTGTGCTCATCTGTCTCAATTTTCAATACCTCATACTTTTGATTTATTCATTTATTTATTTACCTCAACAGGGTCCAAAAAGTGTTATGAATCTAATTTGATACACGGCATGATCTTTGTTGGCCTGGGTAAAAAGGAAGCCTGGGCATGGTCACAGACAGGTCCTCTTGGCCTGATTTGACCTCAAGTCCATCAAGTAATTTTCAGTTCAGTTTCCAAGTCTTTACTGTAGTGACTATATAAATTTTAACTTGGGTTCAATTAGTTACTAATCACAATGACAAAAACTTTAAGGTAGGAGTTTTAAAAAAAATGGCTATATGAGTTAGGGAGATGGCTCAGTGGGCAAACTACTGTGCAAAGTTACTATGAAAGCATCAGAACTTGAATTTGTATTCCCAGACCTGACCCCACATAAAAGCTGGGCATGGTGGCCGACCCGCAATGCTGGGAAATCTGAGGAGATAGGCTAATCCTAGGGGCTCACTGGGATCTAACTGAAAAGTGAGCTTCCAGATTCAGTAAGAGACCCTGTCTCAAAAAATAAGATGGAGAATGATCAACTGTGGCCTCCAAACATGATTTCATAGGTGACTGCACCCGCACATACACCTTCAGTGGCAGGTAGAAGGCACATATTGTGTACATACGCATACACCAAATACACATACACAAATAAAAATTAAAAAACAAAAAGAAGCTACATAACCCAAGATGGTCAGGCTTTTCTTCTCTAACAGAGGCCATGCTTGTCTCACTACCGGAACACCACACTCAGTACCAGACAATGGCAATAATAAATGACCTACTTCATTCACCCTCTTATGCCCTCTTGAACCTAAGGAAGTAAACACCACTGCTGTTGTTCATCAGAGCCCCTCATCACTGTATGTATGTTCCCACAAAGCATAAAGAATTTCAGAGTCACCCAGAATTTTTAACTTTTGAAATTCCTTTTTGAGACAGGGTCTCACTGCATACTCTGGCTGGTTCTGAACTCAAGGGATCCACCTGCTTCTGCCCCCGAGTGTCGGATGAAAGGTGTGTTGTGTGTCACCACATCAGGCCTGAAATTCCTTCTAACTTGAGTCCCCATTTAAGATTTCCCTATTTAAAAAGATCAAACCTATGCTTTCAGTTGTTTATAACTGCTATTTTTATTCGTGTTCAGTTCTAAAAGAAATCTAACACAAATGCCCTGACATAAAGCACAGGGTTTTGACGATGACACGAACAACTGCTTTCTATGCTCACCTCAACAAAGGCCAACTTGACTTGTATTTTTGGAGTTCCTGCAAATTAATGGCACCTGTATTAGTTGCAGGTCTCTGAGGTCCCAAAGCGGCTCTATTTCAGCTAGTTCGATACATCTAGTGCAGGAACAAAGCATTTTCCTGGGTGCCAGTTTGCATCTTCTGCACACGCGCACACACACACACATACACAGTTCCTGCTACACCATATGGTTGATGCAGTAGAGGCACTGTGACTGTACATAGTCACCCCCAATTCTCTGAAGTGACCAAGCTGAACGGCTCTGCTCAATCTCTATATCAAGACCTATACCTTGTGGGTGGGTAGGTCCATTTTAGGAGTGAAAACTAGCAACCATGGCTTCCCCCAGCACCCCTCTTCCCATCACGTGAGTATACAATTCTGTATACTGTACCTTGACTGTGGCAGGTTCCATCTTTCTCATAATCATCTTTATTCTCAAAATCCATGTCTTCTGGTTTGGGCTCAATTCCCTCAGGAACATACATGGAGAAACTCTTTCCCCCCTCTGCACTTTCTTTCCATGGTTCTTTTAAAAGCTCATGCTTCAGTTTAAATGGCTCTGCTGGAATAATGGCAGGCTCACCTTCCACTGTAGTATTATTGGCTTTGCTTCTGTACAGGTCTGGCTGATAAGCTTTGAGTTTCTCTACTTCAGACTCCTCACTCTCCAGGCCATGTGCCCACCTTTCCATGTGTTTGCAGTGGCACTGACTGGCTGAGGGAGGAAAGGCCCTCTGTGGTCCAGGAGTCTGGCTTACCACCTCCAGGTTTCCTTTCTTGGCTTCATCCTGGTGGAAACAGAGGTTCTTTCCCCGTGGGATGCTTGCACTGGACCTGGTGAAATGTAAGCCCTCTGGCTTTTCTGTGGTGCTTGCTACTATGGCTAAAGTTTCATCCTCATTTTCTTCCTCTTCCTCATCACTCTGGTTCTGACTCAAAATCAACTTACTTTCTAGACTCTTGTTTTCTAATAAATCAATTAACTGCTGATCTGATGACAGTTTTCTTCTGGAGTCACACACGCTAAGGCTGCACAGATCTACAAACCCACTTTCATGTCCTGTATCTAAGGTAGGGGAAGCTAAGCATTTGGCCTCTAGGTGGCCCGTGCTTTCAGGTCTCTGTCCTGTCTCACTGCAGCAGGGTTCCCCTTCTTTTGAGATAGAGATCAACAAATGTTTTCCATTTTTAATGTTCATTTTAGCTACTCCTGCTTCTAAGCTGCTCATTAGAGAGGAGTTTGAAGCGATTTCTGCCTCAATGCCAGCAGGCTGGCAGCTCTCATCTCTGTTGGCTGAGACGGTGACAGTATCTTTCCTGGACTGTGTGTTGGTACTTGGGGTTTCCTGAAAAGAGAGTGGCTCTTGGCTGAGTCCTGTCTTACCATACATCATGCTCTCCAAGGACTCGGGCAGCAAGCTTTCGTCATGGTCGATAGAAATAACCTCCTGAACTTTGGAAATAAAGTTTTCACAAGTTATGTCAGATAAACTGCCCTCAGGCAGACAGAGATGATCATCTCTGTTTTCCATTTTCACCAGATTCTCTGGCTCACTTTCCAGGGACTCTGAAGTCCTCCTCATTTGGGAATAAGTAAGAGATTCATACAGTTTAGAATTGTTCTGGTAAAGGCAACAGAGACTTCCAGGTGCCTGTGTGTCAGTTCTCTTGTGTTGGGCATAGTTTCTATAGGCATCTAGGAAGGATAACTGGGGGTCGTTCATGATGTAATAGTCAGTGCGGTTGAGCCCATGTTTGGCAGTGCCGATGAGCAGGTCTCGATCATGTTTCCCACACTCCCACCAGACTGGGAGGTAGAGGCTGGGCCTGCAAAGCTGGAGGCGCTCATGCAGCTGTGGACACCTAAGCACTTGCTCACGGACTTTCCTCAACAGTTCAATGCGGTACAGAGTTTTTGCTGCCCGCTCCTCAGTGATGGGTTCAACATAGATGTTGGCATCAGAGGAACCTGGAGAGAAAGAAACACAGAACTTACTACATAAGGCTGTTATGAATACTCCCTGAACCCTCAGTATGGCGTTTTAGGTGTGAGCACCTACTAAAACTGGAAACTGAAGACAAATGGGCGCAGGGTAAAAGGAGAGGAAGAAAACGTCAGTCCTGTAGACAAACAACAGTTCCCACTTAGAAGCCAATGCTATGTATGAACTCTCACTAAGTTCACAATTTGTTCTCCAGTTCTCAAAAAAAAAAAAAAAAAAATCCTAATCATTTCTCTTTTAAGGACAATGAGTCTGTGCTCAGAAAAGTCATTTTGCTTAAGGTAGCAAATCCAGGTCTTCACTGAGATGACTCGAAGATCTAAATTAGCTCCTTGACTTGAAACCAAGCAGAGGTTCAGTGCTTGCCTCTGCTCTCCTAACATGTGACAATATGGTCCAAGACACGCCAGGCTGAAGAGAGATGGGAGGGAAGCTGTGTAAAACTTCAACTAGGGAGAAACATCAGAAGGCTTGCCCACTGGATCAGATGTTTAAATGACAGTCATTTATCTTATCTGAGCCAATATATAGAAAATTACTTAAAAGTTGCTAATGTCTCATTTAAAGATAGTATAAAGTACAGACTAAATCTTAATTTTTAAAAAAGATTAATTTTATGTACATGGGCATTTTGAATATATGTAAGTGTGTACACATGCATGCTTGGTACCATTAGAGGTCTGAAGGTGTTAGATCTCCTGCAACTGGAGCTACAGACAGTTGTGAGCTACTAGCTACTACGTGGGTGCTGTGAACTAAACTCAGGTCCTCTACAAGAGCAATAAGTGCTTTCTTATTTATTTATTTGCTTACTTTAAAAAAATTTTGTTTCGAGACTGGGTTTCCCTGTAGCTTTGGAGTCTGTCCTGGAACTAGCTCTTGTAGATCAGGTTGGCTTTGAACTCACAGAGATCTGCCTGTCTCTGTCTCCCAAGTGCTGAGACTAAAAGTGTGCGCCACCACTGCCCAGCCACAATAAGTGCTCTTAATCACTGAGCCATCTCTCCAGCCCTTAGAACGTGATCTAAAAAACTAAATCCTATACTGTAGATAGCATAGTTAATGTCAATTTCTTAATATTTCTGTGAGGTTTTAATTGAACTTCCACAGAAGTTACACCATTTAGGGATTCAGAGATCTGAATTAGAAGATCAGACCTCTGACAACCTACTCATCTTCACCAGAATTCTTTAGATTCCAGTTTTGTGGTTCAGCTAGAATAATTCTGCACTTTGAACCCTAACAGTTGTCTTCACAGTGACCAGAGTTTTCTCACCATCATCTTTCCATGTGGGAAGACGACACACATTCCGGCACATGGCTACAAAACTATAAAAATAGTGCTCCAAGTTCTCATCGGACTTCTTGTCCAAACGGGAAATGATGCGGAACTGTGTCCAGTCAAAGGCTTTCTTTTCTTGGTCATACACAACGCCAAAGGAAGACACTGTTCTATAGAAGTCGGCTTGTTCTCTTCGAGTCCACCTGAAAATTAATCAGAGGAAAAGTGAACTGATTATTCTACCTTTACAAACAGGGTTTTTCTTTTTTCTGAGTGTGGGGGTTACGGGTCTGTATTACAATGCTTGGCTTATCCTTTTATTAAGAAAGTCAACAATTATTTAAGAACATGCTGTAGAAGCCTGTAAAATCCAAAGCACAGGTGAACTGCCTTGTGTATTTTACTAATTACCTTTAAGCTACATTGGGTGGAAAGCCTTACATCCCACTCTCAAAGAGGGAACTGCGTTCAAATCTTCAGTTCTTCTGGTGTTGATCGATCTATACCAAAGCCAAGTATCTCTTTGCTATCTCTTGGTTATCAAATTAAGGATTTTTCTAGTTAAACTTTCACTTGTAGGGAGATAATGACTAAAGATACTAAGGTACTTATTTTGTCTTTTACCCTTTCCCTTATGACAACACAGAACAGACTCTTGAATCTTCCTGCCCCATCTCAGTCAACCTCTCTACCTTACTCAGGACACTGGAACTGAGAAGGCAAGCGCTCCCACTCTCGGTTTCCCTTTAGTTTCCTCCTTATTATGGGGCAGGTGATCTTAGTCAGCTACCTTCTCTGGGACACAAAGGTCCTCACAGGATTCAGACAGTGACTCGGAGGGCATGTAAGCTCCTGTCACCAGTCTTTATGACAGGTTCTTGGGTACGCTGTTCTGCCTTATCGGGGAACAAAGGGTGGGATGAGAGGTCAGCGGGGAATGAGAAAAAGGAAGGTGCTCTGCAGCTAGGCCAGGCGGACTTCTTGATTTCATGACCTCAGAGGGAGTACAGAGAAGTAATCGAACTTGTTATTGTTTAATTTGCTGGGTGCTGCACCAGAAGAAAAAGGATAGAAAGACCGAGAACTGCTGCTCCGTTCATTCCTAGCCTGCACTGGCCTATGGCAGCCTTTGTAGCTTAACTCTCAGGTCTAGTGACTACAAGTAATAAGTACCTTCTTTTTGGCCTTGTACTTTATAGGTATTTATTGATCTCACAATCTTGATTAAAAACAAGATTATAGGAAGACAGCTTCAACAAACTATTTCTCTTGTTATAAGAATCAGGGAATTTGAAATGGTATGACCTATATCAATGTGATGTTTTAAAGCTGTATTTTCAAGAACTGGGGTCTGAACCAGGCGGTGGTGGCACATGCCTTTAATTCCAGCACTGGTGAGGCAGAGGCAGAGGCAGAGGCAGAGGCAGAGGCAGAGGCAGAGGCAGAGGCAGGCAGATCTCTGAGTTCGAGGTCAGCCTGGTCTACAGAGCAACTTCCAGAACAGGCACCAAAGCTACAGAGAAACCCTGTCTTGGAAAACCAAGGGAAAAGGGTCTGATATCGGGAGAAGTATGCAGTTAGAAAGCCATATGATTAGGCGCTGTGCACAGAGGGTTCGAGATCTATCAGCCTCCCACTCACCACTGGAAGACATTCTGAAGACAACCTAACTGCCACACAGGAACTAACCCACGAACCTCCACCTATCAGCCTTTCCCTTGTCATCTTTACCCAGTGACCAATTAGTTTAGCACGCTTTCTCGCTTTGGCTGTTACCTTTTATGGGCTTCCTTGTTGATGAGGTCCATTTCTGAAGTTCTCCTGAACGCCTCCTCCTGAACCCAGTATCCTTGATTACCTGGGCCTAGAATTTCAGGTCGGCAGAGCTCCTTGCGATTGCAGCGCTGGTAAATGGTGACCAGACGCCGGAGTCGAGCAGTGAGAGCAGATGAAACTGGCCAGGGTGATTTGTCTGGGTTGGAGCCATCCTGGGCTTCAAACATCAGTGAGGATATTAGTATTTACAAATGCAAATACAAGAGGGACTTTGCTTCGTTTGTTTAAATACAAAGACAACAGGCTTTAGTGACTTTAAAGCAGCTGCTTTAACATTAACCAGGAGTGAGGCTAGTGGGAAAGGCAGCAATTTTGCTTTAGAAACAGCTTTATATTGTGGTCAGTGCTGTTCTCGCTCAAATATACACCTCTTTCTGAATGGCAGAGCCGCTCTACAGAAAGAAAAGAGCAAAAAATCTGTTGTCTTCTTCACATAGAGTCATGGCTTCTGTGTAGCTGACCTTTCCAACTACCAAAGCCCCAGCCAAGTCTGAACTCAGACACAGAACAGCCCACATCAATGAAGTTACAGTCCCTTTTTTTACTATCCAGATTCTATCCTAAAAACACCACTTGTTTAACTTTTGCATTTTGAAGTCAAGAGACATGTGTCACTCTAGGGAAGCTTAATACAGGTCAACTTACTTGGAAGTCTCCTTAAAGATAACATTGACTTCATAGAAATTCTACAATAACTATAAACTGAGACCTTACTTTTCTTTGCCTGCAGGACACAGTCTCACCTGCCTGGCTGTCATCCTTCTTTTCACCAAAAATGCCATCACTTCCATCACTGGGGCTCGCCTAGGGATAAATGAAGCCATTGCATCAGCGAAACTGCAGCCCATAAGAAACTCCCTGAGAAAGGCTCTTCTACAAGGATTATGCATGCACAGGGAGCCTGTGGGCATCGTAAGAGAGGACCTCACAGACACAGCTTACTCTAGCAGTTTGTCTAAAGGGCCCTCCCCAGGGCATCTTCCCACAGAGAATCAGGCCAAGGGACAGCAAACTCAGGGTTTATAAGCACCATGTCAGTGTTAGCTGTGAATTTAAATATCAGCTCACGATTTAATACTGTCATCTCACAAAGAACATGCCTGCATTTCTGTTTTTCACTGTGAAAAAGTGTCAGGCTAACTAACATTCATTATGGAAATGGACACTATTTTATAAAGCATGACTGATCCAGACATGGGCCCTAGCAGTGTAACGCCCCAGAAACTTAAAATGAAGATTTGAAGCTTCAGACAAATCTGAAGTTGTCAGTGCATTCATGAAGCTGCATGAACAGACTGTTTCACTAATTCCACCCTGTCTCGGGTGAAACTTCACAGATGATGATTTGGAATTGGGAAAGAAGATGACACTTCTTAAAATGCAGAACCATTACTCTCTAACTGCCATCTTTTGGCCCAAAATGACGATGCAGAATGAGCTCAGGATTCAAGGCTACATCATGTTACAACAAAGGAAGAAGAGAACAAGAGTCAGCGGACCACAGCATGCACTCATTTTTGTGTTGTATTTAAGCCCAAATTAAGAATGGTATATTTATAAGAGGGTAAGAAACAGAAGAAGACCGTGACAGTGAGTGAAGGGGCTTCCTGTCCAGGAAATTCACTATCTGGTGCTTACTGAAAGCATTTGCTGTCTCCTAGACAGGAGACAGGTGCTTCAACACAGTGAAAGTGGACACACACATACAAGTTCAAGTGATTACAACCCAAACACATTTTTAAGGCCCTTGAAACTATGTATGAGTGTGAAAGAAAAAACTCTTGAGAAAGCAAAGAGAAGTCAGTCCATTTCCTGAACACACACTTATCTTGTGTAGAACGGTAGTAACAAACCCTTTATACTATGGCTCGTCTGGTTATGCCAACCATCTCCTGAGACAGAACTATTACTATCTGCGAGAAACAGCTCAGTGAGCCACTCAGGGTCTCAGGCTAACAAATGGGCTTCAAACACAGGTAGTCTGATTTGAGGACCAAGTTATTTAAGAATGGGCACTAAGAGTTGCAGATAAAAATCTGCTTTGAAGAGTGAAAAGATACTTAGAGCTGGGAAGCACTAGCTAAGTTCCCTCCTAGGGTCCAGAACTGTTTCCTGCCATTTAATACAGAGCAGAAACCTGAGGATGACCTCAGGCGCCATTCTGAAATGGCATCTAACTGTGCCACCTCACGTTACAAAACAAAAACTTCCCTACCTCATCTTGTATATCTTAGGGCCAGAAAAAAACCTTTATTGTCCAGAGTATCTGTAGGGTTCTTTGAATGTTGACATTTATAAGTGCAGATATTGGCAGGAGAAAAACATTCTACAGTCTATAAAATGTGGGTGGTAGGCACCAGATGGACAGAATTCCCTATGAATGCATCATGGCAGCCAATGAGGGCATGCCCAACAGGATGCCAGTGTGGTGTGAGGTAAACTCACAGCTTTCCCCTCCAATCTATCCAGCAGCTTCTCCTGGTGAAGTCAGTGAACAATCCTTGAACAAACATTCAAGCAGGAAGGCTTTGGTATTAGCAAGTACCTTTTTCAGTGGCCTGTCTTCTCTTTAAAAGCATTTCTCCTTAATGGAATGACAGGACATGGTCAAGCAGTCACCGAATGTGAGTTTGATGCACAGGAAGCCAACAGGCCTTGGTACACAAAAGACCTTACAGTTGAGCTCACAGTCTAACATGGAGCACCAGTTTCTGCTTACATGGGGAAAACATGTTCATCTTAGAAATATGAGTTGATTTCAGGTAAAGGGCCCCAGAGTGCTGACAACACAATTTCTCCATCCTGAGAGAACAAAAGCCCTCTGTTCTTTAGCTTTGGGCAAGTTGTTTCATTCTCTCTGAAGTGCTTTTCTTCTTTTTTAGCTTTTATAGGGTGATGGGTAATATAATGAGTACAAAGATGTGAAGTGTTTAACCATATAAGGCACAAAGCAAAAGCCTAACAGTTGGTAGTGGGGAGAGAGGGAGTACTCACAGTCTGACCGCCAGACCACCACTTAGCATTTCTATCTTTTACCTGAAGTGCATGCTCTTATGGAGACTCCAGAGTATAACCAGCAGCAATAACAGCACCACTGAGGTGTCGCAGACTGGAGTCAGCACTGCATAACATTTTCTTTATTGTAACAACTCATTTAGACAGGAGAGAGTATGGTATGGGGGCTGGGAACATTACCCAATTGCAAATAGTCATGAATGGCGAAGGCGAGAAATTGGAGAAGACTACTGAGGATGTGGATTATGTACACTGTGCCCCTCCACAGCACGGAAGCCAGATAATTTAAAGGCCATAGCTACATACATGATACTTCCTCAGAGGACTGGGAGATGTTTCCTTACTCAAAACTGAAGGCGTCTAGTCTCCTTTTCTTATGGCTGCCCCTCCAGGCCTGGATGCCTCCCAGATTTTGTCTTGGAAAGGCAGAAGTGTCCACAACACAGACTTGGTGGGATCTGTACACATAGGGGATTTCTTCTATGCCCTTACAAACCCCAGTGCCAACACAGCAGGTAGCCATACAGACCGATTACCTTTTAAGCGTCAGGAACTAAGCTATGTCCAGGACTACAATAGGGAACAAGACAGAAACCTTAGGCCCTGGAGCTCTGCCTTGTGGGTGTGAGGGACAAGTAAGCAGGGACTATGCCGAGCCACAGGAAATGTAGAACATCAGCCAGGTGCTGCTGGTGGAAGTCTATGAGGTGACTCCGACACTGAAGAGTATACAGGAGTCTGCAGAACACACATAGGCAATAAAAGGTCTGAAGGCAGAGTCAAAAAAGCCCCACTGAGGTTTTCATTTCGCAGGAAAATCAAGCATTCTACCTTTGCATAGACGGTGCAAAAAGCAGGCACTGAAACAAATGTCATAAAGTTCAAGTGTTTAGAAAGAGGTGAGCAGGTGAGGACCCTGCTCTTGTGTCCTTTGGTTGTAGGACTTGTGCACCTGAGACTGTGTGAGCTCTTATCACCTACAACGAGGATAAGAATGATGCCTAATAAAAAGAAAGACATATTTGTAAGTATGAACAAAATTTACACACAAATAATACTGAGTTCAGAGTATCTCCAACTCCTTAACTCACAAGAAATGGGTTCTTGTTCAGTTCCTAGCTAACGTTTTCTTAGTGTAGGATTTGACCATTTAAAGTATAAAATTTTCTGACAAATTTTTTCCCCTTCTCCCTAACCTCCCATTGGCTGCAACTTTCATCCTATTACAGACTTTCTATTTTAGAAAGTACAGGAGACCCAGCCCAGACATTTGCAGTTGAAACTGCAGCACAGCAAAGAGAGTGCCTATCTGTCACAAGGTACTGTGCTAACTAACAAAAGCTGTGTAATGGAAATGTTACTTTCCCAACATAGCATACAGGTCTGATAGAGACTGCTGACCATTCTGGGCTTGATACCATTTGTAACCTTGCTTCTGGTTAAATGTTTACTGATCAAAGGACCACAGACATTAGGTATTCTGCAATCTAAAATAATTATATACTTGATCAAGCAGAGCTTACAGCTAGTGCTGTAAGATTGGCTCAATGTTTTTCAACTAATCATAGTAATCCCCTTTCCTGAAAGGCCAAATAAGAAAAAGAAAACCTGGGGAAGGGGAGATGGGGAGAGAGAAAGGAGAAGGGAAGGACTGGGGAGAGCTTGGGGGAATGGGATGGTGGAGATTGAGGAAGGGTCGAAATGGGAGTAGGAAAGAAGATACCTTAACTAAGGGAGCCATTTTAGGGTTGGCTAGAGTCTTGGCTCTAGAGGGGTTCCCAGGTGTCTAAGGGCATTTCCCCAGCTAGGTCCTTGGGCAGCAGAGGAGAAGGTGCCTGAACTGGCCTTCTCCCATAGCCACACTGATTAATATCTTGCATATCACCATAGAACTTTCATCTGGCGATGGATGGAGATAGAGACAGAGACCCACATTGGAGAACTGGACTGAGCACCCAAGGCTCAGATGAAGAGCAGAAGGAGGGAGAACATGAGCAAGGAAGTCAGGACCACGAGGGGTGCGTCCACCCACGGAGACGGTGGGACTGACCTAATGGGAGCTCACCAAGGCCAGCTGGACTGGGACTGAACGAGCATGTGATCAAACCGGACTCTCTGAATGTGGCTGACAATGAGGGTGGACTGAGAAGCCAATGACACTGACACCAGGTTTTGATTCTACTGCATGTACTGGCTTTTTGGGAGCCTAATCTGTTTGGATGCAAACCTTCCTAGACCCAGATGGAGGGGGGAGGGCCTTGGACTTCTCACAGGGCAGGGTACCCTGACTTCTCTTAGGACTAGAGAGGGAAGGGGAGGGGAAGGGGGAGGGGGAGGGTAGAGAGAGGGAGGAGAGGAGGAGGTGGAAATTTTTAATAAATAAAATAACAACAACAAAAAGAAAAAAAGAAAAAGCAAACCCACCAAATATTATCAGGAAAAATAGGTATGACAAAATTCAACATCCGTTTATGACAAAAACTCAAGAACTAGGATTATGAAAATGCCCTTCTTTTTTGATGAAGAGATCTTTAAGATAATCTATAACCAGTGTAACTCTTTTTTAAAATTAGAATTAAAAATATTGACTTATGCCGGAAGGTGGTGGTGCAAGCCTTTAATCAGAGAAACTCTGTTTCAAAACACACCCCCCCCCACACACCTGCACGTATGTACATGGCAGAGGAAGAGAAAAAGAGATCACAAGACAGAATCCAGAACTCTGAAATGGAACCTCACAAACATGTCCAACTGTTTTTTTTCCAAAGGTGAAAAAGTAATTTGATAGAGGGAAAGAGCATTTTAAGCACTTATGGAATAATGGGATGTGATGAAGTTAAAGAAAAACCTTGATCTAATTCTCATCATTTAAATTAGAATTAACCTAAAATGGATCACAGACATTTATGTAAAGCAATAAAATGTAGGGGAGGGGAGGGCAGAGACTTTCTAGGCTGCAGCAAGAGCTCTTACACCTGGTACCATAAATACAACCCACAAAAGCAAAAGTGAGAAATTCATTTCCTCAAACTAAAAATTCTTGCCATGTTAAAGACAACATAGAAAAGGTAAAATGTCAAAGCTACAAGATGGGAGAAAACATATGCAAGCTACCTATCTGACAAAAGACTGGAATTTACCATGAGCTCTAAAACAGAGCGATGGAAGTAGAACATTTACCGAATAAAGCACAAGAAGCAGTGAGCATCACTAGCCGTTAGGGAAATGATGTACAAGGGCATTACTACACAAGCATCAGAATGGACCCATAAAGAAACAACAATATCATACGCAGGGTGTGTAAAAAGCAGATCTCTTATCTGCTGCCAGTAGGGGCAAAAATGATACAGCTACTCTGAAAAAAATGTGGTGGTTTCTCAAACAAATGTACATTCTATAAACAGTGCCATATCCACGCTATGGAATAACATTCAGCTACCACCCCGTCCCTAACCAAAAAAGAAAAAAAAATTAACTATGGTTTAACAGACAACAACTAATTTTCAGATTATGACAAGTGAAAAAAGCTAACTGCTAAAGATTCATGCTGTATGATTCCATTTATAGAACCTCTTTAAAATGATGAAGCTATGAAAAGGTCAATAAAGGTTTCCAGGGACTGAAATGTGGTGGAAAGGGAAGACAAATGATTATGAGATGGTGCCAAGACTTTTGTAGTAACAGAAATGTCCTTTACTTTGAATCTATCAATGTCACCATCCTGAATATTATAATAAGCATGATCTTACAAGATATTACTATGGAGGACATTGGATACAGGGGACATAGGGTTTCTCTGGACTGCATTCTACAACTATACCTTAAATTGGCAGCTATCTGGAAAAGATTTCAGAATACAAATGTAGTCAACTCTGTGTGGTTGGAATCTCTGTAATAAGCCCCTGGGTGACACAAGGCAAGTGCAGCGGTGCAATCCAACTCCCCACACCATGAGGGACTCTCTCAGCATGAAAGAGCATGCAGTACCAGGACAGCAAATCTGACTCACCGTTTGCTTCTGGAGACCATCTAACTTGTCCTCAGCACTGTCTTCTTTATCTATGTTGCCTCTAAATAAAAGTAATTATATACCACTTAGGATTTATGTTACTACCAGGATGCTTGTAAGAAAGCCCTCCAAATCACCGCTAAAGGGAAGGTTAGTAGATACCATTCTTATAGGCACTCAAAATCTTAAGATTTTCCCTTTCTTTTCAGAGAACCTTAGAGACACTAAGAACGAGAGAAACTACCACCAAAGAATTTTATCATGTAGGTGAGCAAGGACTTCCACTAGACTAAGACCTTACATGAGGGTGAAGCCTCATGACCTACCTACCAGGCACTCTGAGGCTGACTGTTCGACAATGATATTGTCACCGAAATGGTGATTACAGCCCATCAAGAGCTGTCTGCTGCTGGGCAGTGGTGGCGCACGCCTTTAATCCCAGCACTCGGGAGGCAGTGGCAGGCGGATTTCTGTGAGTTTGAGGCCAGCCTGGTCTACAAGAGCTAGTTCCAGGACAGGCTCCAAAGCTACAGAGAAACCCTGTCTCGAAAACAACAAACAAACAAACAAAAAAGAGCTGTCTGCACATACAGCTCTGAGAAAGAGAACAGCTTCTAGTCCAAACTGACAATGAGCTGATTAAGTGCACACCCCTAAGCACACTGGGGCAACCACTCCCAAAGGCACTTTCTGCGAAGACAACTCTCTCTGCTGCTGAGATGGAAGGGCAGGTTGTCCTCTCTGGTATCGCACTCGTGACTCCATCAGTTCTGTCATGTCTCCTGTGAGTGTAACTACTCTAAAGCCTGTGTCCATGATTCTTCAATGCTTAAACTGGAAAGCAGTCAAGTGCCTTGCTCCTAGCTTAGGTGCTCCCTGGAGTCACCAAATAAAAAAGCTACACACAAGATACCTCAACCAGGTGGTATTTTTCCTGAACCAGTTAATTTAACTAACATCAGGACCTGCTGTGCCAACACCTCCTAAAATATGCTTTTATTATCCTGTTCACAGATAATGGCTTTGGGGACGAGAACATCAGACAGTTAAAGTGTTCCCTGGGGCTACTGGCAGTGCCATACTTTCACGGCTAGGTCTAACCCATAGCTATGGGATCAAAATATCTCATCCTTAGTAGAGGAGAGATGTGGCCAAAGCTGACAGGACACATCTAAGAGAAATACTGCTTTCTAAACCTTTGTGTATCTTGGAGATCTATAGGTTTTAGCTGTTACTTTCATTTTCCTAAGAACTTACACATTTGGAGATTATTCCAATGATAAATAAAACTCAGCCAAAGAGGATGCTTCTATATTTTGTATACAACTCTTTACTATGCTGAATGGCTGCAACCTCAAAAAGTGCCTTCTGAGTCTGACTTATTCAGAGTTATATGATCCTTGAATAATATCAGCAATCAGCTGAGGAACTTTATGATAAGGATACTTGCTGTGTCTGTGTAGATTTTTGCCAGCTAGAAGAGATGTGAATTCTTCCCTGAAAGCCCCCTGGCTAGACATGAGAAGAACTGTTAACAAGCCAGGCAGGACCATCAGATAGGGAAATCCATGAAGGACAGGAACTGGAATTTGGTCCAAAGCACAAGTACACAGTAGAGGAGGATGAACTGAAAGAAGCAGTTTTGAAGGGCATGGCCACAGTACAACAAGGCTTAAGAGAGATGTCAGAAATTGAGGGAAACCTGTGGTGGTTTGAATGAGAAATGTACCATATAAGCTCAGGTCTCTGCACACTCGGTTCCTAGTTGGGAAGCTTATGAAACCTTTAAGAGATAGAACCATGCTGTGGAGAAATATACAAAAGGGGCTAGGTTTTGAGGGTTTACAGTCTGGCTCCACTTTTTGTACCCATGAAATGTGATCAACCACTCCTGCTGCCACGTGTCTACCCCTCCATATGAACTCTTTGTGGAATATTAAGACAGAATAAATGTTTTATTCTGCAATGCTCTTGGTCATTATCTCATCATAGCAACAGAAAAGTAACTAATACATAAAGATACAGAGTCCTGGATGGATGTGGAATAGAACACAAGTTGGTGACAAGGCATGTGACATCAGAGAGGGCCTATGTGGCTTCTCACCTTTCAGGAATGTCTGGGGTTCCATCTGTGACACCCTGTTCTGCAGACAGGGACTTCTCATCAGGCATCCCGACTTTCTCTAGGAAGCAGAGTGCTGGGTCAGCCCGCATGGCATTGTACCTCTCATAACCTGAGCGGGCAATGACAAGTGCGAGAAGTCAGGGCAGAACCCACCAGGCCTGCTCCGGCCTAGACATTTTTTCTGTCTCCTTTACTCAGTGAAAACTAAGACGAAACACACTTACCAATGCTTTAAACAATTTTTAAGCAATTATTTAGGATTAATGCTAGCTTAAGAGACCTCCTAACTGGGGGCTACTATTCTGGAGTTATTGCAGCCTTTGAGTAGTTTCTTACTAAAGCTGGAGCTCGCGTAAACACTGTGCCTGTGAAGCTTACATCAAAACTAAACTTTCCCCTGATATGTCTGTCTTAAAGAGATTCCTGCCATGGTCTGATCCCCATGAAGAGGTGAGTTATCAGATAGTGAGACGGTGAGCACCTTCCTTTACTGTCCATTACTATTGAGGGAGGTAACTGTCCACAAGCGTTCTGCCTTCCTGATCTCTGCACTACATGTTGGCAATGAGATAGGCTAGGGTCTTCCATGTGCCCATCTGGGTAAATTTCTACACTGTATATGTGGTGGTGTCATGTGTGGGCCTGATGGCTGGGCTCTGCATTCCTATTTCTTCATTAGCTACAGGTTGGAGTGAAGAAGACTGATTCAGTTTCCTACAAACTCCTAGCAGTGATCCTGAAAGAGAAACTAGGAGTGGTAATGGCGAAACAAAGACCTACAAAGCCACAAGACAGGTCCTTGAAGAGGTGGAGGTTGCTTATCGCATTTTGAGTAAGTTTTTAAGAATATGTTCAGAAGGGGCTGGAGAGATGGCTCAGCGGTTAAGAGCACTGACTGCTCTTCCAGAGGACCCGGGTTCAATTCCCAGCACCCACATGGCAGCTCACAACTGTCTGAAAACCCAGTTCCGGGGGATCTGACACCTTCACACCAATGCACATAAAATAAAGTTAAATAAACCATAAAAAATATTTAAAAAAAAAGAATATGTTCAGAAATACCAAAATCCTCATCTTGAGGAATATTTCATGTACCCAGGCTGTCCCAAGGGGGGCAGTTATCATTTAGTGCGTGTGACAACTATCGGGAACATTATGCAGACTAGGCTTACAACAGGCTGTTCTGGCTGCAGGCTAGAGTTCCAACTGAAGACTCAGCCTATTCTACTACAGATGGTTCCAAGAAAGAAATTTCTCACCTAAATATGGCTACATAGCAGGCTGTCTGGAGACATACCCACAAAAACTTTAGGAGATGAAAAATTCCAGCACTATACTACATACTCAACCAAGGCAAGGAGAAAGGTGTGCACACTTTGTGGTATATGATCTGGGAAAAATGAACCATCTGTAATAATTACCAGTCAACAGAAAACAAGAGCAGACTCTTAAGGTAATGCTTTACCAAGTGAGGATAGGTACTTGTTTCCATTTTCCCACGCTATTAAAAACATGCTAGTTCTCTTTAACTTCTTGGTTAATGAAAAAAATTAAGGATTGGCCAGAATAGCTTTACACTGAGATGGTAAAGTTACAAACTAAGAATTTAGAGTTCTTTAAATCATCTTAGAATTCCACACAAAAATGATCTAAAACCTAGCACTCCCTATTTCCTCTACTCAAGTAACGGGTACTTACTATGTGCTACACACTAGGGCAGACACAAGATCATTAGGAACAAATTAGTGAGGTCTAGGGAGATGACTCAGTTGGTTCTGTGATTTGAATAGGAAATGCCCTCCATGGGCTCACATTTTTGAACACTTGGGTCTCCAGCTTGTGACACTGTTGAGGTTATACAACCTTTAGGAGGCAGAGCCTTGCTGGAGGAAGCTTGTCATTAGGAGTGGGCATTGAAGTTTTATAGCCTAGCTCTCTACTTCCTGTTCTGTTTCTATTTCTGGTGTATGGATGTAATGTGATGGCTCTGCTTCCTGACTGCCACTCCAGCCTCATATTCCTGCTGTCGTGACCTACCTAACACGATGGACTGCATTTCCTCAAACTATGAGCCTTTCTTCCAAGCTACTTCTGTCAGGGCATCTACCAGAGCAACAGGAAAGTAACTAACACCGCTGGAAAGAGTGACTGTTGTAAGGGCATGAGGAAATGCATTGGATCCCTGACATCCATGTGAAAAACCAAACACAGCTACATATTTGTGTGGCCATAACCTCAGTGATGGGGTGGAGGGGAGGAAGGAAGATCCCCAGGGCTTGCTGTCTATCACTTAGACTAGATGTAAAAGGTCTGGTGAGAGAAACTGTCTCAAGGTAATAGATGTAGAGTGACAGAGAAGACGTCCAGCAAACCTCCTGTGGCTCTAACGTGTGCACAAGTATGCATAACTGCACCTACCCCCATATGAATGGAAGAGATGGATGCAGTCCCACCTTCAGCAACAGCCAAGTGAAAAGGATAAAATCAGGTAACTTCTTTGTGACTACAGTTACCCTTTGGAAGTTTCTCAGTAATATATTCAGAGTACTGTTATGAGTCACACATTCATTGGGTCAAGACTCCAGGTAGATAGACAGCTGTCAGGTTCAGCTTTCTAAGAATTAGATAGTGGGATTGTTGAGAGTTTGCAGGAATATGGACAGCCTAGTTAAGATTGCTTGAATCAGTTTTCTGGGTAACTGATCTGGAATTTTCTAAAACACACCATGCTTGAACACGCCAATGAGAAGGGACTTATCAGCCTCAGCATCCCACCAATCCACTGGGATCTCCACGTAGTCAATGTCAGGCAGAAGCACATCCAGTTCCCTGTGGAAAGAAGGGTGTGGTTTCAGTGTTCTTTGCACCCAGACACAACACAAAAGCTACTGAATCAACCCTCGTATGAAACCACATTCCTAACTGAATGTATAAGTAACAATAACCAGACACAACACAAAAGCTACTAAATCAACCCTGGTGTGAAACCACATTCCTGAATGAATGTATAAGTAACAATAAGATGATCCAAAAGGCTGCAGCTCACAAAGCTGTTTAAGCATAGGTACTAGGTTCTCAAACTCCACTTGAGACGGGAGGAGAATCTATTGTCAGCCGACTCTGGACTGTGTGTGTAAAGCAGTTCTGGTCTGTCCCTTTAATTAAGAACCAACGCAAAAGTCTTGGATGTTTTGATCATGAAAAGCGACATTTCCCCCAAATGACTGAATCCTTAATATTATCTACACCATCTTACCTCAGCATTGACACTGGTACAGTCTGAGGTAAAGAGGGCCTTTCAAAAACTAAGTGGTCTGTTAAGTCAAAACCAACCATACATTGCATTGTTCTGGCCAAAAGAGTGAGCACTATGCTCAGATGCACACGTCAGGATTGGTGAACGAGCCAGGATTGGCGAACGAGCCAGGATTGGCAAGCCTGCTACCATCAGCCCCTCTGGGTTTCTGTCCATGTTCTGAGAAACACATGGACCTGAGCTCCCTACCTTCGTTTTCAGGACTTGGATGGAGGAATATCTACCTGGATAGTTCCTCCCTCCTCTCCCCACGGCCTGGGATGGTTTCTCAGTAAATTTACAACTGTCATTAAAATTCTTATTGTGACTGATACAAGCCTTACTATCCCTTGACAGGCCCAACTCCCTCTCCCAACACAGCGCCATTTTGGGATAAGTACTGTTTATACAGGACCAGTGACATACTGCAAAGAAAGTGGAGGCCTTTCTTCTCCATCTCCCTGTTTCTATCCAGTAGCTGTCTTGGGCAGGGTAGAAACATGGGGTCTCCTGAAACAACAGGCTGGATCTGGCCAGTCTATGAGCAGGTAATTTACATAGATTATTTAACTCTGGATGATGTATTACCTGGCAGGAGTTCCCTCAAATGCTTTATCAGCTGCTTCTCCCAGTATTTCAGCTTTTAGGTAGTATAGCATCCGGACTCTCAGAAGCACCCTATGAAAGATGAACACATTAATACAATATTCTGGAACCTAAGATTGAGAACACATTACCTAATTAAGGCAGAGAAATTAATAAGCATTCTTGAGTAGTATGAAGGGATATATCAGAATATACCAGAATAAGACACCAGGTATCAACGCCAGACATTACTATTCAAGTAATCACCCCTTCACTACTCAAGAAAACAAATGCTTTCCCAGTTTCTTGCTAGACCATCCTTTAAGCCATAAGTCAAGGCAGAAACAATCAATAATACCTCCCTTAACCCCAATCTTTTCATGTGGCCACAAGGACCACAGGGGTAGCTGGATTCCAAGAGGCTAGTTACCAAGTATACCAGTTATAAAAGAGTGAATCTGTTTGAACAGTGGTACTTTCAGGCAGTTTTACACACACACAGTGAGATACTTAAAGGACAACTGTTTATTTTTCACAGCAGTAAGTCTTTTCCTGAGGTCACATTCACTTTGATTCTGCACTCTTAGGCTCCATGGCAATGTACCAATTGTGTTTAAGGCAAATCAATTAAGTATATGTTAGTCAACTACCAATCCTGTACCATGCTACATGTTGTAAAGAATATGGCAAAGTAAACAATTCAATCATGCTCTACAGGCACCTAGAAGTCCACTGTGAAATGAGACCAACCACAAAGAGTCAGAACAGAGAAACTGACAGCTGAAGCCCAAGTTAAATATGCACAAACACAAGATGAAAATATGGGGAGGTGCAATGGAGAACACCACTGCTAAAGAAATGTTTCATACTTAAGCTAAGCAGCAAAGAAGTCTGGAGGGAACACTTGCAGTTCACTCGTAATACCAGTCAAGAGTGAAGGTTAGCCACTGAGGGAAATACAATGGCAGTACTCATAGAGGAACTGACTTCCAGATAACTAGTGTGATGAGGGATCACAAATATTATGGACAATACCGACCATTTTCAGGAATAAAAAGCAAGTTATTTATTTATATATGCTGGTTTACAGTTCTCTGAGGAAGCAGGCTAACAGACTGTCTCTGGAAAGCAAATGGGGGATCTAGAGATGGGAGGAAAACCTATTTTTGACAGGATTTTTATGTGCATAAGTGCGATCTATTCAAAAGAATGCAACTTAGAGGCTTTGAAATAGAGCATAATTCTATTAGATCTGAGTAGAAAATGGCACTGTGGCCCAGCTCAGAAGCAGAGATAGGATGTCCTGACTGGTTCTCAAAAGTTGGCTTAGAAGCCTCTAGGTACAGGATGTATTGTATGAGAGAAGACTGCTGAAGGGGTGGGGGAGGGGGCATAAACAGTGCAGACAGTTTATACCCCCAACCCCCTCTCCTTTCTCCAGACCTGGCATGGGGTGAAGTCAGAAATCTGGGCTGTTTGAGCGAGGCTAACTTTGGGAATTGGGAGGGGCTAACTCACTTGTTGCAGTGCTGTTTGAGGTGTTTCTTGTATCCATCATCATGTAAGACCACCTCTGGGTTGCAGGTGGCTAGCCAGTCTGCATTCTTCAGTTCTGGGAGCAAGAGCTGGTTTTTTGTCTTTTTTCCTTTCCTCCCTCTGGGGACAGGGGCAGACAACCCTGAAATGGAGAGATAATGACATAGGATGAGCCAAAAGGGCTTTAATATGGGCATTAAATCTGGGCCAGGTATAGAAAAAACATGATGGGTTCCTGGTGACAGACCCCTCAAGTCCCCAGAAAGTAAGGTGGTCAGCAAGATTTAATGAATGACTTGTGAGACTCAGGGAGGAACAACACAGCCTGTCCCTTTTGGGCTCCTGGGGTCTAGTAAGAAGGAGGAGACTTGAAGGGAAGCTTTGGTTAAGGAAAGAGAAGTACAACAGGACAAGTCATGCCAGAAGTGACACGGACAAAATGTTGAAATGAAAAAGATGAGCCACAGAACACGAGGTCTGAGTCCCCAGTTCAGGGGGCTCCTGATGGACTCAGGTAAGCGAACAAGATCACATGTAGGAAATGGCAAGAGCACTCACCTGCCCTTATAACAGACCACAGGCAACAGTGACCCCAGACAACTCACAGTGGACCCAGTTTACCATTTACCTGAGTGGTTCTGGAGGGTCTGAGCTTGTCCGTCTTTGGAAGGTGTGATTAGCTCCCAAATAAAACTCTTGATCTTTTCATCTCCTTTATAATGCTTGACACAGTATACTAACAGGGCTCGGCAAATCATTTCCATGTCTTTCTCATTCAGGTGCCACTTAAATCGCCCATGAGTCAGGATGTCCTTCCACCGGCCCCAGCTGATGTAAGAATATAGAAAGTGTTAGAGGAAGAGCCAGACACACCCTAAACAGAGCAGAAATTACAAAGACAAGGTTTCTCATTCTCTTATAGTGTATTATTTACCCTAAAAGCTTAGTCCTGAAAAGCATGTGACTTTGACTGCATGCCCTACTTGTCTCTAAGGTATCCTACATGCTGGATCATATGGTTGCTGGATTGTTAAGTAGGGATGGTCCAAATTACTGGGGGCAGAGAATAAGTTTGGAATTGAAAAAGTGCAGCTGCAGTAACCACAAGATAACCATGCCTTAAGCGCAACATTTTTGTACTGATTCCTTATAATACATTCCTAGGTGGAAGAGGAAATCAGTACCAGGCAGCAACTGGTACCAGATATTTTCAGTGACATGTGTTTGAGAAGATCTAGTATGACTATATTACAGCAACACAGCACAGTGATGAGGGGAATTTTGATACAAAGCACAGCTTTCTCTTACTGCTGCAGATCTCAACAGCAGAGGGATCTCATCCCAGAGGGAGCTAGAAGTTCACTGCACAAATCTTAGGGACTTAAAAAAAAAAGTGGGAAAATAACAGTAACCCCTTCCTACTAAGCAGAGCCAGTTCCTACCCAAAGATGAGCAGGTTCTTCTCTACCCGGAAGCACTCGGCACGAAGGTAGCGCCTGGCTTTGTCATTGAGGCGCCTGGATCGTGTGGGCCTTTCATCTGAGTCGCTGTCTAGCTCTGAGAACTCCATAAGCTCGTCCTCTTCAAATGAGTTGTAGTGCTTGGTCTGCTTCCTCACACGTGGCCGGTCAATCACTAAGCTTTCCTGAAAATGGAGAAGACTGTGGGGAGGAGGCCCCTCTTTTCTTTACTCCCTACCACTGTGCACAGCACCCTTGATGCCATTCCTCAGGGCATATTTGAGGAAGGACCACCCACATCAGGCACTGGCAGGGAAAGCTCTTTGCAGCACATCTGCTGTCTCTATGACAACAGACAGGACAAGCACAGGGGATTCTCAGGAACTTCAAGCTGTTGTTTCTTGGTCCCCAGTGCTGTCCACAACCATCTGTTGTTTCCGCCATCATTCTAGCAAGCAAAGCCCCCAAGTGCCCAAAGTGGCAGTCTGCTAGTTCCAAGAAAGACTGGCGCTGAGAGCCCCAGCTGTTCTGCCCGGCATGGAAAGGGCAGCCTCAGTTCTGGAGATAGGACCGGTAAGAGGGTTCCATCTGCTCAGCAACTTCCTGAAGAAAGCGCATCTTGCTGCTTTCATATCTACTTCCTTTAGTTGTATTTACTAACCTTTTGCTAAAAGACAAAATTCCTAGTTTAAGAATATCATTTCAGTGGCTCCCCTGACCACATCAACTGCTCCTTCACTAGTCCCACTATTTTATGTTCCTTATTCCTTCTTCCGACACTTCTTCCCAAAGCCAGATGAAACTCCTCAACACTTCTCCATGCAGCCCAGACAGTGAACCTCTAGCATCACCTGCCTCAGTGACCTTGCTCCTACTCTGGACTCCTCCCATTGCTTTCTGCTGCCTACAGGGTAGAAGCTTGTCTTCCCCCACCAATGTCCTGCCCACACAGTTGCTCCTTGATTAAGACTCGTTATGGCACTTCAAGCAGGTAACTAAAGGAGCTCAGAATCTTCTTAAAGGAGGAGAAACAACATTTCTAGTTGAAGAAAAGAAGCCAGGATAAACCCCAAAGGTTAAATACAACAGAACAGTAATGTGGGTTCTCAATGACTTAGCTAGATTATAAAAAGGAACTGTCTCAGAGATTTGTGGGCCACAGAGTGCAACCTACACTTCAAGAGACAAAAAGAAAGGTTATGTACTCATCTTGAAGTGAGGCAGTGGGGTCAGGGACAGAGAAGGAGGAGCCAGCATTTTATGGTCAGGCACCAGTGCCAGTCACCTGACTCTGCCCTGGGCCTCAACATTTTCTTTCCCACTGCCTGGGTAAGGTCAAGGGTGTTACACAAAGGCACTGTCTAGTTCTATTCTGGCGCCCATGTCTCTCTCATGTACAGACTGGAAAAACCTGAGACACTGAAAAAAAAAAAGGGAGGTAAAACCAGTAGGTATTTTCTTTCCTTCTTCCTTTTGATTGCTGAGAGGTGAGGTTGTTTTTAGAGACATATTGATCAATCTTCCAGACCTGGGACTGACCAACTTACAAGCTGCATCTCTAACTGCATTTATCTGACTTCCTGGGGGCTCAGCAGATGGTGTACTCCACTAGTCACTGTAAAGCTCACCAGTTAACGCTGACCCAGGGCTATCTATATGTCACCATTTTCTAAGTGTGTTAAACAGCATTTCACTTAAGAATCAAGACTCAGGAATAAAGAATGACCTGAGCCATGTAAGCACGGTCCCATGCAATCCAACCCAGGTCAAACACATAAGCTATAAGATAAGCTATACCTTTTCATTATTTGCTTCAGTGTCTAATTCGGCTATTTTAGCCCATTTCTGCCAAAAATTAGGATCATCCAAGGAAATATCTGTTCTGTTTCCTGAAGCCACAAAACTAGCCTGTGAAGGAGACAAAAATTAACAAACTGGGTTTAAACAGAATACAAATAAAATCTCAAATGCACCAGAAATACAAAAGCCACCCAATGTCAAAACTAAAAACCCCAACAGCAATTCTATAATCTCAAAATGATTCATTTTTCTCTTCCTTTTAAAGACTGAGTAAGGAAATAAAAGTTTCAATCCACAGGCTCATTTTCCTGAAACTTAAAAACTTCAAAGTAAAAAGACAACCTCTTTAGACAATTGCAATATATTACCTGGTGTCTAGTTGTCTATAAGAGTAATATTTATTTGCTCATATTTTGATAAAATGTATAACCAAGTATGCACTTAAAACATATACATATGTAAAAATATATTTAAATACAGGATCTTACTATGTAGTCCAGACTAGCCTAGAACCTGTGATCCTTAGCCTTCCAAATACTGGGATGACGGTCATGCAACATAATGCCTGACTAACAGGTTATCTTCTTTCTTTCTCCCCCTTCCTATTCCCCTTCTTCCCTCTGTGATAGAACCTCATGCACCTCAGGATGACTTTGGACTCATTATATAGCTAAGAATGACCTTGAACTTCTTATCCTCTGCTTCCATCTTCCCTACCCCAAGTGGTGGATTGTAGACTTACCATGCTCAGTTTTATGTGATGCCAGAAACCGAACCCAGGGCTTCATGCATGTGAGTTAAGTACTCTACCAACTGGGTTAGATTTCCAGCCAAGAGGTTTGAAAGGATTTATTTTCAGATTTTTCTTAACTTTCAGTTTTATAGTAAGTATCTGCTTTAAAAATGGCACCGGTGTGTGTGTGTGGTGGGGGGTAAGGCACAGTAGTGCATACCTTTCAAGACCAGCTTAGTCTACATAACAAGTTTTAGACCAGCAAGGGCTACACAGAAACTGCGTCTCAAAAATCCCAAACACAAAACAGAAACAAAAACAAAAAGAGGTCCTGCCTCAGTAGGTAAAGTGATTGCTCTCCAAGTATGGAGATTGGAGCCCACACTTGCACTTAAAAGCTGGGCAGGTGTGGCAGTCACCTCTTATCCCAGCATTTGAGAGGAAAAGACAGGTCATTCTCACGGCAAGTTAACAGTATTAGTTATCTGGACTCATTGAGTTCCAAGTTTAGGGAGAGACATGATCTCAATAGAAATAAAGTGGAGAATGATCAAGGTAGACATCCAACATCAAGTTCTTGAGTGCACTGGCAGCCACATGGACACACGTTGAACATGCACGCACATCACATACATGCCAAAAGAATGGTACTGGGTTAGTATGAGGTGTTGAATGAGATGCAGATAACCTACACTTCCCCTACTGTGCACAAAATGTTCTCCTGAACAAGTCTTGACAGGTGATAAAGCTCCCATGGGAATTAGCAGAACCTGCAGTTGGAGCAACTTAAGAGTAATCTGAAGAGTTCTAAACCCAGTGATCTGAATAACAGAGGAAGGTGGTCCTGGGGTGAAAAGCTGAGAATCTTTTAAAAATCCCATTTCTGTGAAGTGAAAAACACCTGCTTGAATTTGAGAACTGGAAGAAACAGTTGAGGTCCACTCTACGACAGTGTTCAAAGAAAACTTTACAAAAGCATCACGAGGTCCACTCAAGGGTTGTGGAGCAGACCTTGTAAAGAGTAGATCCAATGAATTTCAGACTAGTGTCTACCTGCCTGTGGCCACTAGCTCCTCTTTCTAACAGTCTGTGACTTCCTCTAAGTGTCTACATCGTCAAGAGATTGCATTTGGAGGAACAGAAGCCTCACTGATGAGTTGAAACAATGAACAGTGATCCCTTTCTCTTCATCCAAAAGAGGTCAAGTACCTTGGCGAAAGTGGATCCTTTCCCCTCCGACTGGATAGTGATGGTATGGGTTCTTCTTTGCAGAATCTGGTCTATGTCTTCTTCACAGAACTTGGAGCCTTCATCTTCCTCATCCATTAAAGCCCCATAAGCACCTTTCCGGAGTAAGTCCTCCACTTCCATTTTTGAGAGCTGCTGTACCTGAACAAGTCACCAAAGTGGAAAATGCACAGGAGAAAAACAGCCTCAAATGTGGCTCTCATGATTCAGGATATGGCTTCTCTACTAACTGCACACACCAGAAAGACGAGCCAGAAATGACAGCTCACTGAAGGTGCCCTGACTACTTTGCAGGGGTGTCAGGCAGGCAACTGTCTACAGAGAGCTCTGTAGCAAAGCCTAATACACGAGCCAAAGGCCTAGCATTCTTCAGGACACTGTTTATCATCAAATGTCGTAAGTCATTAAAGTTATGTACCATCGAAGAGGATATACTTGACATCTTATTTTAATATTTTAGTTTGAACTTAAAAATTTAAAGCCTCCAGATGTAACACATAAGCTGAGAAAAAATGATTTATTCATTATTAAATAAATACATTTGTATTGGAAATGATGTCATCCCTTAACTTAAAAAAAAAAAAAAGGATCTTTTGCCAAGTGTGATCTTTCAACCACTTGTTGAAAACAGGAAACGGAGTTCAAAACACTCTTTCCTGGTTCTAATTAACAATCTGGTTCTCTTTATTTCAATCACAAGAGGGAATTCCACAGCTCTCAGGAAGAGCGATGGGAGTATGATGGTTAGTAACACATGCATGGCTAAGGACACAGAACATCTGCACTAAGGTTTGTAACTCCACTTCTGGTTCTCTAAGCCCAGCGATGAAGGACATACACTGCTTTATACTTATGAAAATCTAAGACTCCTAGCAGTAATTCTTAACCCTTTCCAATTCAAACCCCAAATCGTCTTGCCACTTTTTTTTTTTCTTTTTGAGATCGGGTCTTACTGTCCACAGGTTGGTCTTGAAAACTCCACGTGTACCAGAGGCTGGCCTTGATCTACTGATCTTCTTGCCTCCACTTCCTACGTGCTGGGATTCTAAGCATGTGTTACTATGCGCAGCTAGAAAAAGACTTTAATTACTGTATTTCAAACTAATTTGTTCATTTATTATTTACTGACCACCACACACTGAACACCTTTAAGATACTGTGCACTCTTTGGGGTCATGGGGACACAGTTAACACTGACTTCATTACATCATCAAGAAGCTCAAAGTCAGTCTGGAGAGACGGCTCTTTCGTTAAGAGCACTTGCTGCTCTTGCAGAGGCTTGCCTCCCAACACCCACATGACCGCTTACAACTATTTGTAACTCCCATTGTAGGAGATGGGACATTCTTTCCTGGACTCTGCAGCCACCAAGGTCCATACACGGTACACATGTATACATGCAGGCAAGCACTCATACACATAAAATAAAAATAAATAAATCTTAAAAGAAAAAAAGGCAGCGCAAAGTCTGGGGTATGAGATAAGGTAGGGCAACAAATATGTTATAAAAATGTTAGGTCTTTGGCCCATCTATATACAATAAAGAATGTTAAACCTACCGGTTCTGATGGGTGTGGTTAAAACGTATTGCAATGTTACTGCATGTTGAGCATCCCTACCACTACCACACAGCAGCTCCCAGACTGCCTTTATCCATTCAGAAAATGCAGGAACTGCCTCCAGATTATTTCCTGCTATAGGAGATTACTACCTACCCAAGCTGTGGAGGACTGACTCAAATGGTGAAAAAGGAACCCAAAAAAAAAAATCCTAGCAAGTGCTCCTTTTTTTGCTGTTGAGACAGTCTCGCTGCTCATCCCTGACCAGTCTGGGATTCAGAGAGCCATCTGCCTGGTTCTGGGGTCAAAGGCATATGCTCCTCAATGCTCCAGGATGGGTACAATGTACTCACCCCATTGGTGCTGCCCTTTCTGTTGATGTCCTGAAGAATAGCCTTGTCCAGGCCTAGCTTCAGACTGGCCTTGTCAAACATTTCCCGCTCATAGGAGTTTCGAGTGATTAGGCGATACACCTTCACGGCTTTGCTCTGGCCTATCCGATGACACCGGGCCTGAGCCTGGGAAGAAGGTTCGTATACATGTTATAACCATGGATACTCACATTCACACACAAACACAATGATAGTGGCTCCTGTGGGATGAGTGGTATCATCTGCCATGTCTGGAGTCACCCATTTCCTTCCCGACTGCTTCACCGACTATGTGTGGTGATACAAAGCAGTGGGAAGGACGCAGCTGTCTTCCCTCCTGCTATGGTGGTTTGCAGGCATCTAATGAGGTGACGCTCACCCTCAGGATGCTGTTCCACCCCTGGGAAAAGCCTCAGAGGCAGCAGCACTGCTTTTCTTCTGCTTGTAAAGTTCACTACAAAAAATCCCAAACACAGACAAAGCCAGAGAAAAGCACAGCATAGTAGACCCTTGTGGACAATCTGGTTTCCTTTCTACCACACTCTTACTCTCCATAATGGTAAGGCAAGAAATCTTAAGCAGAGTGTTCCTCATCATTACTATTTTAATATGAACTTCTAAAGGTAAAACACATCACCACACCACTGCTATACTTAAAAACAACTCTGTCCCTGACTGCCACCCCCAGCACTGGAGGTTAAACAAAGGTCTAACACACGGCAGGCAGTGTTCTACTTCTAAGCTATAGGCTTCCAAAAATAAAATAATTCCCACTATCAACCAGTCTTCTGGCCTTCCCACTCAGCTGTTAATGTAATGTGCTGGTCCCGTTTCCCCATCTTGCTAACTGTATTTGCGCTGTATCCAAGTGGCTATTTTTGCCCCTTGTATCTCCTCTAAACTGGAATTATACCTTGTGACCTGATTAAGTTAAAGTCTGGTTTTTGGCCAGGTATCTCACAGATGGGCTTTCAAATTCTGTCAAGATGCACATGTTAATCTGCCTGCCTCATATGAATTTGAAAACTACTGTGTACATCCATTTCTTTATTGGAGGCTATAATTGCTTTCGTTAATATTTTGGTTGCCCTCATATACAATTATTAAAGAAAAGTTAAACATTTGGTTCTTTCTCTTTATTTAATCAATTTCCAAAACAACATCCTCTAAAGTAATAAGGTTTCTATTATTAATTCTCTAAGGAACAGAACTGTGCCACATGTTTCAATACAGTTGTTAGGTCTGACTGCACCACAGCCATATGGCCTCTGCAGACTGATACCTGAGCCTTTTCAACATTGTCCAGCAGATTATGGAGATAAGACTCTACAGATTAACTCTGGTGTCAGCATGAAGGGATCAGTATGAATGAATGGTTTTGGGGTACGTGTTTGTACACACATGTCAAGAGAACACAAAGAGCTGTGTATTTATGCCTATCTATTGTAACAAAGACCAATAGTCTTTAACTTTTAAAGACTTGCTTTTAACATGTTCCGCAGTTCTTCTTGGTATTTCCTGTATAAAACTAAATTCACCTATTGTTTAAAAAGGAATCCTGTTGTTTTTTCTTCAACAAGAAACGTCCACTCCCAAAATCAAGTAGGGAGGGATGTCGCTGACAGCGACCAGGAGGGATAATCATGCCACACGTGTGAAGCCTGCAGGTGCTCCTGCAGACCTGAGTGCTTTCTTGCTTTGACAGAGGTGAACACAAGCAGTGATGATGTGCCCTGGCTCTCAAATGAGTGAAGACGGTGGCAGAAGAAAAGGACAGCTTCAGAGTCCTGCTTCTGTCTCATGGTCTTACTGTAACCCCAGCATCTGGAAGAGAACAGTAAGCAATAGCACTCACGGTTCAAATGCCAGGAGGTTCAAGGAAGCTATCGGCGGGACAGGAAAAAGTCTGCCTATCTGGTTAGAATTCGACTCTTTTACTAACTTATGGCTGAAAATGACAGCTGAGTCCTTTAGCAGTATTCAAATGGCATGATAGCAGAAGCACACCAAACACAGAGACCAGTTTCATGTTGTGATGGCTAATATTGGATGTCAACTTGATTACATCTAGAATTAACTAAAACCCAAACTGCTAGGCATGCTTGTGAAATGTTTTCTTAATTGGATCATCTGAGGTGAAAGACCACCCTAAATCTGGGCATCCCACATAAAAGGAAATGGAAGAGAGCTTTTGCTCATTCCTACTGGCAAGTTAACTTTCTGTGTTACTAATATTGACCCTATTAATTCTGTTCCTTTAGCGAACACTAACTAATGTGGACATTGGTCTACTACAGTCTCGGAAAAGTACTATTACAGCACACCGACGGCACTTACTACTGAAAACAGCATATTTTTCAATGGAAAATTAACTTCAGTGGTGTGTGTGTTTGTGTGTGTTTGTGTGTGTGTGTGTGCACGCGCGCGCGCATGTGTGTGTGTGTGTGACAAATCCAAACAAAACTGTACTCCATGTAAGAAAAATAAGACTTGAGCCAGGCAGTCACACATGGCTGTAATTCCAGCTAGCTACTGAAAGTTCAAGGCCAACCTAGGCAACTTAGTAAGATCCTGACTTGAAATAATATTAAAAAGAACTAGTGATGCAGTCAGCAGTAAAATGCATGCATAGTATGCATAAGGATATCAGAACACACACACACACACACACACACACACACACACACACACACCCCTTCTGACTCCTACTGCAATTGTAACATCATCTGACCATCAAAATGAAGACACTATTGAATTACAACCCACCGAATTAAAGAGCCCATGAGTGCACATTTACATAAAGAAATCAGAAAAAAAAAAGAAAAAAACCCTCTGGAGCAGTATGTCAACTAACAAACATATATCAAGCCAACGGTGTTAAGAGTATCAGCATTGTGTAAGCACCAAGTAACAACTGGCTCAGGTAAAGATAACCAACAGAAGCTAATAAATACCACAGGTAAAACTGTCCCAGTGCATCTCTCTAAAATTACTTATACATTGCAAAGGGAGAAATAGCTACTTCTGAGTAGGTAAACCAAAGTGATCAAAGTGAACATGACCAGAGAAAAGAAGATCACGCTTTTGTGTTCTGACGGCTGAGAAGGATGCATCAGTTCAGCAGGGTATCCAAATCTGAACCCACACCTGAGCAGGCAGACAATCCAAATCTGAAGCACTCTACAGAACAGCCAGCTATCACTCAGCAAAAAATTCTTAGAAAAAGAGAAACTTGACCCAGATTAAAGGAAGCTAAAGCGTAAGTGTGATTGTCAGTCCTGGGTTGGATCCTGGACTGGGAGACCGATAGCTATAAAAGAGCAGGAAAGAAATGAAACATTATTTCAATATTGACTAGATGATTAAAGAGTAATGCTCTTATTTTCTGATTCTGAGAATTACACTATGGCTATAAAAGAGAAGGTCCTTGTACATATGGAATAGAGACCCAAGTGTTTAGAAGTTAAAAGGATCTACGCACCTAACATATTCTTCATTGAAACGTGTGTTTCAGAGAAAAAGAGAAAACTGAAATATGGGCAAAAATGATAAATAGGACAAAATGCAAACCTAGATATGAAATCTGGATAAAAGTCTATCAGAATTGAAAATAAAAAGTATATAAAACCCCCCAAAAGTATATAAAATATATACAGAGAATTTCTTTCTGAGGGCTATGCTGTCTACCTAATACACAGAGAGACCCAATTCCTCATTTTGGTTTTGAGCTGGGTGTGGCACCACACATGAGAGCACAGTTCTTGGAGGCAGAAACTGGAGAATTATGAGTTCAAAGTCAAAGTCAAACTTTGCTCCAAAAGAAATGTAAGGGCAACCTGGGGTACATGAGACTCTGTAACCAAAAAAAAAAAAAAAAAAAAAAAGAGTATCAATCAACCAACCAACCTGATGGGAAAGAATAGAACTAAACTTAAGAAACTTTGGAAAATAACATTTTTGTTTATATACTGTAACATTACAGATAAAATAACCTACTCTTTATTAATTACTTTAAAAAACATATTTTTTTAACAAAATGTTGATCAACAATACTATCCTGAGATGATTTGATTTTTATGCTAGACATGAGTGAATAAATATGCCGCTGCGATGAGACCGAGACATCTCTTTGCCAGAGAAAGAAGGCCACAAAGAACTCCATAATGGGGTGGATTAAGAAGCCTGATTATGGGAGACCATTTCCTAAACATAACCCCAGTAGCACAGATACTGAGAGAAACAATTAATAAATGGGACCTCTTGAAGCTGAAAAGTTTCTGCAGAACAAAAGACATGGTCAGCAAGACAAAAAGAAAGCCTACAGAATGGGAAAAGATCTTCACCAACCCTACATCAGACAGAAGTCTGATCTCCAAAATATACAAAGAACTCAAGAAATTGGTCATCAAAGGAACAAATAATCCAATTAAAAAACTGGAGCAAACAGAGGAATCTAAAATGGCTGAAAGATACTTAAGGAAATGCTCAACATCCTTAGACATCAGAAAAATGCAAATCAAAACAACTCTGAGATTCCATTTTACACTTGTAAGAATGGCCAAGATCAAAAACACTGATGACAACTTATGCTAGAGAGGTTGTCGGGTAAAGGAACACTTCCTGCACTGCTGGTGGGAATGCAAGCTGATATAGCCCCTTTGGATATAAGTGTCGCGATTTCTCAGAAAATTAAGAAACAACCTTCCTCAAGACCCAGCAATACCACTTTCAAGTAGATACCAAAAGGATGCTCAATCGTACCACAAGGACAACTATGTTCATAGCAGCATTGTTTGTCATAGCCAGAAACTGGAAACAATCTAGATGCCTCTCCATGTAAGAATGGATAAGGAAAATGTGGTACATTTGCACAATGGAGTACTACACAGCACAAAAAAATAACGACATCTTGAAATTTGCAAGCAAATGGATGGAGCTAGAAAACATCATATTGAGTGAGGTAACCCAAACCCAGAAAGACAATTATCATATGTACTCACTCATAAGTGTATTTAAAACATAAAGCAGAGAAAATCAGTCTAAAAATCATAATCCCAGAGAACCTAGACAACAATGAGGACCCTAAGAGAGGCATACACAGATCTAACCTACATGGGAAGTAGAAAAAGACAACATCTCCTGACTAA